AGAGAGAGAGGAGGAAGCAGGCTCCCTGCTGAGCAGAGGGCCCAATGCAGGGCTCGATCCCAAGACCTAGGATCATGACCTGAGCCGAAGGCAGAGACTTTAACCTACTGAGCCACCCAGGTGCCCCCAAGTATTTCTTTTAAATTAACTTTCTGGATAACTAATACCTATTTTATTGAATACCACATTTTCTAAACATTCTCTTTACATTTCTAAGCCATACTATATACTTTAATGACTCCTAAAACAGAAAATATTAGCACATCATTTTTTTCCTTTCATCTTCTTGAAGATGTAAAATCGTCTTCCTAAACATCTGTTATTATACAGGGGATCCTTCAGGGTAATTCAGATACGAAGGTTCTTACTGAGAATTCATTTGGTGACAAGTGACAGAAATTCAACTCAAACTGGTAAGGAATTTATTGGCTTAGCTATAACTGAAAAGGAGCTGCTTCCAGATATATCAACAATGTGGTTATCAATTTGAGGCTTTCCCTTTCTCTCTTTCCATATTAAGACACTTCATTCTTTGGAAGGCTTTTCTGTACATCACAAGGATTGCCAATAGTGAGTCTGGGCTTAGCAAACCCAACAAAAAGAAAGCTCTTTCTCAGTGGTTCCAGTGAACACCTTAAAGCTGACTCTCATTGGCCAGGTGTGGATCACATTCTCATGCCTAAAACAATCATTGTGACTGGGAAAGAAGTTCCCTCATTGGCCAGGCTTGTCCTTATCTTCAGAGCATTGGTAGAGCATGGGGATTGGGAAGGTGAGGAGGACATGAGTTTCAAATGAACCACATGGATGGAGAAAAGAGGAGATGGGGATTATACAAAAGAAAATTAGTATGTTAGAACCAAAAAGTCAGGGAGAAAGAAGCTTGGCAGGCCAAAACTGCAAATATGGAAAAGATATTTATCCCTATGTTTTTAGCCTTAAATTTCTATCTTTCTGTCTCCTTCCTGTCAGCTATCACTCATACTGCTCTCAGTTTGCCTCTATCACAAACTCTTCCTACATTTTAACTTATAAATCCTATCTTCTGTGGGTTTGGAAACCAGATGAGCAAAGTCATTTGAGTTGAGAGTTAGTGGACTCTAAGTGAGTACTTGAGAGCTTCTCCATAAGTTAGGAGTATAAACTTTCTACTTTTTAATGGACTTCATGACATATTTTAGACTCTTTAAAAGGTCATTTTTGCATATTCTCTGATTTATTTGCCAAAACTGTCTTCATGGTTGGGGATACACTATTGTAATGTCAAGACTCGAAATTCCCACAAATAGCATATATTGTGCAACATGCCAAGTTTGGGTTATTTACATTAAAAGAGAGTAGAATAACTAATAAAGTAAATTCTCAAGGCTCCAATTTAGCCAATAGTTTATGTCTATTAGAACTTGTTAGCTATTTAAAAATATTCTTCATAAATGGCATAATTGGCTGATTTTGGAAATTTAATAAAGGAGTTGATTCTAGTGACATTGCCCAGGAGTTCTTGTATAATTCTACTAGCAAGACAGATGAAGAAATGACAATGATGAGTGTTACAGTCACCTTATCAAGAAGCTGGCCTTGAAATAAAGAGGTACTATCAGACACATGAAAAAATGTTCATCATCATTAGCCATCAGGGAGATTCAAATTAAAACCACATTGAGATACCACCTTACACCAGTTAGAATGGCCAAAATTAGCAAGACAGGAAACAACATGTGTTGGAGAGGATGTGGAGAAAGGGAAACCCTCTTACACTGTTGATGGGAATGCAAGTTGGTGCAGCCACTTTGGAGAAAGTGTGGAGATTCCTCAAGAAATTAAAAATAGAGCTTCCCTATGACCCTGCAATTGCACTACTAGCTATTTACCCAAAGATACAGATGTAGCGAAGAGAAGGGCCATCTGTATCCCAATGTTTATAGCAGCAATGGCCATGGTCGCCAAACTGTGGAAAGAACCAAGATGCCCTTCACCGGACGAATGGATAAGGAAGATGTGGTCCATATACACTATGGAGTATTATGCCTAATCAGAAAGGATGAATACCAAACTTTTGTAGCAATATGGACGGGACTGGAAGAGATTATGCTGAGTGAAATAAGTCAAGCAGAGTCAATTATCATATGGTTTCACTTATTTGTGGAGCATAACAAATAACATGGAGGACAAGGGGAGATGGAAAGGAGAAGGGAGTTGAGGGAAATTGGAAGGGGAGGTGAACCATGAGAGACTATGGACTCTGAAAAACAATCTGAGGGTTTTGAAGGGCGGGGAGTGGGAGATTGGGGGAGCCAGGTGGTGGGTATTAGAGAGGGCACGGATTGCATGCAGCACTGGGTGTGGTGCAAAAACAATGAATACTGTTACGCTGAAAAGAAATAAAAAATTAAAAAAAAAAAGAAAGAAAGAGGTAAAAGGCATCATCAAAGAAAATCAATGAGATTAAGTAGTAAATTCTGTAAGATGGGGTGGGGTGGGGGGGCCCTGTCCTGCTTAATAAGGAAAGCAAAAAGAATCTTAGAGATTTATATTAATTAGGGAAAAGGATTTGGGTGGCTCATAACCAACACTATTGAATGTTTATCATATGCATGGTTGGAACCACTCTTATCTCCATTTTATAGGTAAGGAATTAGTTACAAGGAGGCTAAGAACCTTGGTATATGATGGAACTAGACTACAGACCCACCTTTCTTCAACTCCAGACCCAGCAGACATCACCACTTACTATATGAGGGGTCATTGTCTACATAGAGTAAAGGCCAAGTGCCATCGTTTAGGATATGATATCCTGACGTTCCAGCCTCATTTCCCATTGCTCTCAGCCTCCCAGCACATGCTGCAACAGAGTTTCCCCTTACATCCCATTGGCTTTCATACCTCCATACCTTTAAGACAAGGGTTCTCTGAATCCAATATTTTTTCTGTCAAAATGCCATTCCTTCTCATCATGAGTCTAAATTTTGGAATGAGTTTATAAATTTTAAAAATCATATCTGCATTTATACACATATATATAATTATACATACATGAACTTATTATATATGATATATAATAAAAATCAAACTGAAGGTTTTTTGAGATGCCAAGCTGACCAACATTGAATTTTATAAGGAAGAAAAATAGTGGTGGTGGTGATAATGATGGTGGTAGTGATGGAAATGATATAATCTTCTTTGGAATATTAAATGCAAACATCTTGGCAATTTGTTAATAGAAAATGGTTCCTTGAGGCAGGGGTCCTGTCTAATTAATCCTTTTTGGATTAATCTTTAATTATTAATTAAATTAATAACTTAATTAATTAATCTTTAATTAATCTTTATGGCATAGTGTAGTGTGTAGGACATATTAGGTATGCATATTAGGTATGTGTTGAATTCGATTATCCTTTCTCCCACATAATTTTCTTTGCTTCTACCAGGGTTTATAGTTCATACCTCCATTAAAATATCTTCATACTTGTTGCATTTGGAGTAAGGTTGATTACTAGTAAAAAGAACACTTGACTAACAGTGGTTTCAACAATTGCGTCAAAGTTTGGCATCCTAGATTGATGGAGCAATTCAAGGATATCATCAAGGAACCAGCTCCTCCTATCTTAATTGTCACCCTTAGTGTAGGGCTTTTAATTCTCATGGTTGAGAGATGACCACTGGCCTTCCAGATGGTATATCTACATTCTAGGGAGGAAAAAGAGAAATGTTAAAGGACAAAGAGTAAACAGTATGATCCTCAAGAAGACTTGCCTTATTGTCTGGGAATGAAAGCCCTACCCAGGGACTCTCAATTATATCTCATCACACAGAACTGTGACACTTGACCACCCGGAGTTGCCAAAATGAATAGGAATTGGAGTTTTTGACTTTTCAGCCTATAGCATGGGAAGCCAAGGGCAAAGAGATTGAGGTAGTAGTTTATGAGTCAACTATAAGTCTGTTGTACAGACTTACTTCATTTAAGTTTATTTTTCCTGGTATGTTGTCGACCTACAGAGAACAAAAATATGTTTTGGTAATCTCCAAATTACCCACAATGACTATCAAGGGACAAGGCATCTAAGACATTGTGGACCTTCAATCAATGTTGTATTATTTTCACTTTAATTTAGAAATATGAACATGAAGGAATTAATGATTCTAGTTTCTCTGAAAATGATGGAATCCATAGATTTCTCTTCAGTGACTCATTTCAACATTGAAAAATTGCTTGGAGCTTTCCTGTTTCATCAATTTGGCCCATTAAAGAGAATAATTTAACAATAATATTGCTTGGCATATTGAAAGAATAACTCAAAAAACAAGGTGGGAGGGAAACCATATAAAAATATTAATAAGGCCTTTACCAAGAGAGGTAAAGGTAAATAAGAATTAGTATAATATATTGCAATCAAAGGAAAGATTAGCAATTGAAAGTTAAGAATAGGGATTCCTGGGTGGCTCAGTCCATTAACACCTGCCTTCAGCTCAGATCACGATCCCAGGGTCCTGGGAGAGTCCTGCCTCCAGTAAGTAGGCTGCTTCTCCCTCTGCCTGCTGCTCCCCGTGCTTGTGCCCTCACTTGCTCTCTCTCTCTCTCTCTCTGAAAGATAAATAAATAAATTTTTAAAAAGAAAATTTTTTTGAAAGTTAAGAATAGTCCAATTTAGGGGTGTCTGGGTGGCTCAGTGGGTTGAAGCCTCTGCCTTCAGCTCAGGTCATGATCCCAGGGTTCTGGGATCGAGCCCCACATCGGGCTCTCTGCTCAGCAGGGAGCCTGCTTCCTCCTCTCTCTCTGCCTGCTTCTCTGCCTACTTGTGATCTCTATCTGTCAAATAAATAAATAAAATCTTTAAAAAAAAAAAAGAATAGTCCAGTTTAAAGTATTTTAGACATTGAGAGTTCTAAGGGAAAAAATAAGTGCAAGTCACTCATTTAAATTGCTCAAAATGCTGCTAAATCCATTCATGTAAATCTCCACCTTATTCTATATCTATACTATTTCTCCTTTAAAACAGATCCCATTCCTCTTCCCTGTATCATCTTGTTTCTAATTGTAAGTCATGGGGGATGAAGATAAAGTCATTGAACATGAAGATTTGGAACCATCCTCAGGAATGGATCACACAGCTTCTGCGTATCAAGAAATACAGGTAAACCTATGATCAAATGTAGAACATTCTAACCATTTCCTTAAGGAAGGGACTATCTGTTTCCAAATCTATGATACATTTGTGTTCTCTTCATTCTCCATTACTCAGTTAACAATTCTCCCCATTCTTAATACCCAAATTTGTACAGTAGATGTGACTACCAGTTTTCCTGGTAGTCATTAGTAGCTAGACCCACATAAGGCTGGAAAAATAGAGAGCCTGTGAAATGCTTTGTGTTCCCAACCTAACCCCTGGAATGGTTCTGGTTTCTCCCCTCTCTCTTTTTATTGCTTAAATTCAAGTAGATGAATGAATTTGAATTTGTTTTCACCACAAATAGTTCTCTTTTTCTGGACCACTTTGATATATTTACCAACTATTGCCTTGAATAATACCTTAAACAGGCTAATTTTAAACCCTGTACTACAAAACAAAATGGAATACTATGTGACTCAAGCATTTATAATGTTACCAATAGGGACTCAATGTTAAATACTCCTAAACATAGTTTTGGTTCCAAGCATTTACTCATTAGCTATTAATATAGTTGTGCATTTCCACTATAAAGTGTTAGCCTTGATTCTCGCAATGGAAATTTGATCTGTGATGTGATGGCTCTAACTATAAAAATGTACAGCAAATATATGGTTTTCTGTATTTAAGGTTTCTTAAATTGCATTAATCACAGGAGGAAACAGTTATGAACTCCAAAGCAACAGACGCCAAAGAACCAACAGAAGGAAGTAACCTCCTGAATAGCCGTGGAAAAAAGCTACAAAAAATACCAACTGAATCAAATAATTTACAAAGACTAAGACAAACTTTTTCTTGTCCCCCACATGGTTTTCTGGATAGAGGAATAACAAATGGTATGTAAATGGTAAAAAATAATTCAGAAAGAGAGGGTAAAAGATAAAATTGTTATAATGAGAGATTCCAAAATAATATGGTTTAAAGGATAGAAAGAAGTTTACTTCTTTCACACATAAAAACTACTGGGTGAACAATTTACTTGGTATTTGACTCTGCTCCACAAGTCACTGAGGGTCCCATGCTTATGGGTCCACCATCTTCAACATAAGGTTTCCCACAGTGCTGTTGCCACTACCATTGTAGCAAGCAGGGAGAGGAAAAGAGCAGAGATCAATGACATTTTCCTTTCTTATATCTGAGTAATTTCACAAGATTACATTAGGACTCCAGAAAGAAAAATGATTGAGAAATCACTTGTAATCAGAAAAATACTAAATAAATATTGGTTTTAATTATTATTAAATAATGGAACTAATGTCTGAACAAACATAGCTCAATGTATCCTTTCAAATGAATCCATCATTCTATAAGTAAGGATCCTAGTTTCCAATTCAACTTATTCCAGTATAACTACAATTACCTAAAATATTTGGGGGTTTTTCTTTGGGAGTTTATCTCAGCACTATTTCAAATATTATCTTTAGAAATGGATTTGGTTTTTAGAGGCAGCCAAACATTATTTTGATAAAAGATGGATGTTCAGATTCAGTAATGCTATTTTTTGTTCAAAAAAGAAAGTTGTGTGTATGTATGTGTGTGTGTGGGTGTGTGTGTGTATTAACTTTGTACATTGAAGGATATGTAGTATAGCAGGAAAAAGGAGAAAGGGTTTGAAAATTGTCTATAAAGGCAAATTTAAAGACAATTTCAAAAATTATGTTGAGGAATGACAGCACCACTGGAGCATATATATGGCTTCCCAAATAATTATGTTGAAGAACATAACACGTTTGATCTAAAAGTTGTGTTTACTAAAAAATCAGACTCATTTCTTTATTGTTATACTTCATTTGTGGGCTCTGAAAGACATTTTACCCTTCTCAGCTGGAACAACGGAAGCCAAATATAATGTGTTATATTCTAGCTTCCACATGTGGTTTTAATGAAATTAGGTAAGTTCCAAAATATATATCAGTTGATAAGCAACAGTTAATTTAATACCTATTCTGTCCTTTTTATTATTTTTTAAACTTTCACTATTCAAATTATGGCAGATTTCTAGTTTAAATATTTATAGTAAAAACAGATAAAGATTGCATTAAGGAAAGAGTATAATGAATGAAGTGATTTGGAGACTCATTTTTTTAAATTCTATGATCATTGTCCAGAAAGTGGCCTGAGAAATGGGAATTCATGATATAAAAACACCTCTTTACTTGTTTTCCTGTGCCTCTGTTCCTGAGGCTTACAAGTCTGCTCTTTTTACCCCTGTACTCCTTCCCATGTCCCTTCAGTGTACTTAACTGTTTTTCTTAAGAAGTAGATCTTACATGTGAAAATATGATTTTCCAAAATCACAAATGAGAAGTAAATTACTAACTGAATTAAATGTGATTTAGAGAAACCTTGTAAATGTACCCTTATTATGTATTTAGAACTGCATTTTACATATGAGAAAGGAAAGAAATGTTAGAGGTTTAAAAGAAAAGCGGTCTTGAGGTGGAAAAAATTAATTCACCTTCTGAATTTAGTACAAAACAGGTTTTATTCTGTGATAAGATGAAGTTTAATAGCTGGCAATTCCTCCTTTCCCATTGCACCTCCCATACTACATAGAAGTTTCACCTCCTATACCCAAATGGAAAATACAGAGGATTCTTTAGCTATTTCATTGTAATAGCATCATAGTCTACAAAATCTGTAATAATTCTGTGAGGGTTAAAAAATGGAACATTGGATTTTATCTCCAGCAATATGGTAGATGACACTCAATGAACAATCCTATCACTTATGTCAATGAAAACATCTGACAATAATATTTTAAGTCTTTTAAATGTACCTGTCATCTGTCAAGAAAACAGGAACTTGTCAGACACCAAAAGCAGAATGCCTAAGAGAGATAAATAAGCACTCACATTCGCTTTAACTCTGGAGGCTTCTGCAAAACAACAGCGAACTTGAGATTCATTTTGAGAACCATGAGAGTATAGGAGGCTATGCTTGAGTCTGCCCAGGTTGGGAGATGTTTCATAGGAGACATCATTCTCCCTTCACCCACACCAGGAAGCTGGAACCCAATGTGATGGTGTATTTGAGGTAAACCTGCTGAGTAAAGGCAGCCAGCCACTAAACCTTATCTGTCTAAATTGTAGTGTTCCTGGAGGAAGGAAGAATCTCCACTAAAAATGTAGAGCTTCACACTGATTTGTATTTCAAAGTCACAGAAAAAACTCAAGCTGAAAATATATTTTAAAATTAGTCCCAGGGGCGCCTGGGTGGCTCAGTGGGTTAACCCTCTGCCCTCGGCTCAGGTCATGATCTCAAGATCCTGGGATCCAATCCCGCACCGGGCTCTCTGCTCAGAGGAAGCCTGCTTCCCCGTCTCTCTGCCTGCCTCTCTGCCTACTTGTGATCTCTGTCTGTTAAATAAATAAATAGAATCTTTAAAAAAAAAAAAATCACCGTCTTCAAAAATAGTCCAGTTGCTAAGATTCTAAGCACACGGTAGGAACAAATTCAGATCCTATCTGGGAAAACTCGCATTCACCTCCAACAATTCCCAGAGACAAAGTTTCAGGGAAGAGCTTACTGTTGCCAAAAAAAACAAAACCAAACAAACAAAAACAGAAATCACAACACACACAAGGAAATAGATTTCAAAAATTTGCATTATCAGGAAATAAAATATAAAATATTCTCAATATCTATGAAGAAGTTAAAGAGGTAGGAAATATAAAACAAGTAACTTTATAAATATGAATTGATTTTAATAAGCACCAAATTGAACTTCTAGAAATGAAAGACATAGTACAGTAACTGAAATTCAAAATTCAGTAGATCAGGCAGCAGAGTAAGTGAAAAGAAGATCGATAATCTAGCAAATAGATCTGAAGACATTACAAAGCAGTACGCACACAAAAATATGGACAGCATGAAAACTAGGGTTAGGCAAATGGAAAAAGAACTGTGACTGTTTAATTATTTAATCATTGTTCCAGCAAAAGAGAATAAGAAGAATGGCGAAGAGGAAATATTTGAAGAAATGAAGATGAATGTTCCAGAATTGATGAAAAATATAAATTCCAAGCAAATTAAAAGGAAGCTGTACTGAAATTAAACATAAGTACTGAACATATCACACTTAAATTGCAGAAAACCAAAGAAAAAATAAAGATCTTAAAAACAGCCAAAGAAAAATATTTCCCTAAAAGAGACTTAAAAACAGTAATGAAAGTCAGGAAACCAAGGAATAGTATTTTCAAGGAAGTGGGAGAAAGTAATTCTCAGCCTAGAAGTGTATACCCTGGAAAACTATCTTTCAAGAATGAGAATAAAGGTAATTCAAATAAATAAAACCAAGAATTTACTGCCAACAGATCTTCATGAGAAATATAGTGTACTCTGATACAGTGTTTCTGTACCATGAATTAGCTCATATACGATGGTAAATAAGGAATTGTGTCAGTATAATATGAAATTTTGCATTAGTACATATTTTTTCCCGTCATGCTTACATTTTGCATCATCAAGCAATAGCACATGAATGCAAAACACACTGAAAAGCAAAAACAGACAAAAAAAGATCAGGTGTATGGTTTCTTACAATTAAAGATAAAGTCTTACTAAAATGAGGACTTTTCATTTTCTTTTTAAGGATCTTACTTATTTATTTGACACAGAGAGAGAGAACAAGCAGGGAGAACTGCAGGAAGCGAGAGAAACAGGTTCCCCACTGAGCAAGGAGCCCAATATGGGACTCAATCCCAGGACCCAGGGGTCATGACCCAAGCCAAAGGCAGCCACTTAACCAACTGAGCCAACCAGGCTTCCCTAAAATGAGGACTTTTAAAAAAGCTTAACTCCTTCAGGCTGTTAGTTACTGGCTTAGGGGCTTCAAAGACTTTTCAACTTATACACCATTAAACTGTCTAATGAAACCACATGTGGATGTAGAAGCTGACAGTACAGTTAAAGTAGCTGCCAAAACTTTTTCCTCAGTTAAAACAATAACAAATATTTGATTGATGGAAAAAACTATAATCTGGATCAGATTTAGATGGAACTGCTTTCTATTGAAAGCAAATGCTTTGAGGATTCTACATGTTGAAGCTGTGTGGTTCCAGGGATTAAGTCTGCAAAAAAGAGACCATGAAATACAAACGTCAGTGGAGATTTAACTGCACTGGTACTTTTATTAGGATTCTTACGTTTTTTGTCAGTACTTTGGTCACAAATTCTGAGTTTTGAGTGGTCTGCCCAACTGTTTTCTGAGGAGTCTTTGTGTGTTCAGTATACAATTTAGTACAACACAAACTTTTCAAACAAGGAAACATTTCATATCCTAATAGAAATGCCTCTATTAAAGGAAATTCTTCAGGCAACAAAATAATTGTTCCAGATAAAAGCGTTGAGTTAGCATAACGAATAATGATCAAAATAGAAAATAGATGAGTATGTGGGTAATTCCAAACAAACATTGACTATAGAAAAGAAACAATTAACAGTGTTTAATTCAAGACAGAACTAAAAATACTTGAATGTGATTGTTCGAGCATTTTCCTGTTCATATGAAGATAGTAAAGATAGCCAATGTTACTTTTTTTTATTAACTGTGACTATTTTTGGTAAATTATAAAGAAAAATAGGGGAATGGTAAAAAAAAAAAAAAGTTTCTTCTGGCACTGTGGAAGGAGATTGGGGATAGGATCAGGAGGGGCTGTAGGTGGATCCAAAGGCACTGGTAATTGCTTATTTTTTAAGATGGTTGAGAATTACCCAGTTGTTCATATTACTAATGTTCTTTAAAATTTACACATGGTTATAAATGTACGTATGTATATTCAACATTTTTAAAATTTTTACATTATACTAAAACCTGCATATGACAAGTTACTATTGGTTGAAACTAGTTTTCCTGGTTTATTTCAGTTACCATGGTTGTTGTTCTCTGGGCTGTAGTTTGGTCAATTACTGGCAGCGAATGTCTTCCTGGAGGAAACCTATTTGGAATTATAATCCTATTCTATTGTGCCATCGTTGGAGGTAAACTTTTGGGGCTCATTAAGTTACCTACATTGCCTCCACTGCCTCGTCTTCTAGGTAAGTGCTAAACACTTACTGTTTTCTTCAAGAATATATCATATCTTGGGGCACCTGGGTGGCTCAGTGGGTTGGGCCTCTGCCTTCAGCTCAGGTCGTGATCTCAGGGTCCTGGGATTAAGCCCCTTGTCGGGCTCTCTGCTCAGTGGGGAGCTCTGCTTCCCCGTCTCTCTCTCTGCCTGCCTCTCTGCCTATTTGTGATCTCTGTCAAATAAATAAATAAAATCTTTTAAAAAAAAGAGTATATCATATCTTAAAAATTGTAGTTTGGAAAGCTTTTGGAAATAGATATAAAATATTTCTGTATTTGCTGTGCTGGCACCAAAAGCCAATAGTTAAATTTTGAGTTAAACACAGAAATTTTTAAAAATTAAATTCAATTTGCAACTTCAATTAAATGATTTGCATTAAAAACAAGACCAATAGATACTCAAAATTCATCACTTCCTAATTATTTTACTGCATTTTCCCCTTATCTATGCTCCTAAAATTATAGAACTAATATATAATGGTGTGCCACTGGCTAGCACTTCCCAATTGCATGTTCGTTGACATCATGTTGGTAGGTTAACATCAACCATGGTAGAAGTAACTATAAGATAGAAGTCAGCAAATGCTACAAAACAGGACTCAATATATTGTAAGTCACTCACATCATTGACAAAGGAGTGAGGGGGTCATCTGCCAAATGTTAGATTATTATATCTTTTGAACTGTGCTCATTTCAGCATTCTTTGTAATGAAAGGCCTGAAAATTCACTTGAAGTCCATTAATTGATCGAGAAATTATAGGACTTCCAAACATGAGCTACTATTGCAACTATTTTTTTTAAAGACGTGTTTATTTATTTGAGAGGGTTGCAGGGGGAGAGAGTCTCAAGAAGACTCCCTGCTGAGCATGGAGCCTGGTGCAGGGCACAGTCCCACCATCAGGACCTGAGCCAAAACCAAGAGTCAGACACTCAACCAACTGAGCCACCCAGGCACCCTGACACTGTTGCAACTATTAAAAAAATGAGGCACACACATAGGTACAGAAGCATGCTTAAATTGGTATAGAAACCCTCAAGAGTGAAAAACTTTAGTGAATGAAGATCGAAAAGTTTGCAGTTGTGGTGTCTTGTACTTGTCTCTTTATACTTGTCAGTAATGTTTTAATTTACCACGAGCATAGCGTATCCTTATTATTCTTTTAAAAACAACAGTTGTAGGCCAGTTCATACTTGCAAAAATTCTGGAAAGACCCTAACTGCAGAATTCAGAACTTAAGAGACCTTCTAGATGAAATGGTAGTTGTGAGAGACGCTTGGAAGTGATGCTTCTTGGCCTAACGGGGTCTGGAAAAAGTCACAAAAGCTGTGTTTGTAATTAGCTTCTATTCTCTCAGCTTACACACAGAACATTTCAACATTAGTAAGTTTGTTTAATCATTTAATGTGTCGTGCTCATAAGGACATGGTGAACAGAGGATACTGCTGGGGAAGAACAGAGGCTGGAAGCCTCACAGTGTCTGACAGGGAAGTCTTTCCCATTATAGGGGTATGTGGGATCAGCAAGGGCACAATTCTCTCACAAACTCCTCAGCTCCCTCAGTTACTGCCAACTACTTATATTTCCCAGAATGTATCACACATCATCTTCACACCTTGGAAGAAACTGTTAACCCATCCAGAAACTTTTCAACTCCCAGCCCCTTCTTCCCTTCTCTGAATCCCTCTGACTCACCCCTCCTGTCTGAGCTCATTCAATACTTCCATAAAACTGAGGTTGTCAGGGGGCGCCTGGGTGTCTCAGTGGGTTAAAGCCTATGCCTTCAGCTCAGGTCATGATCTCAGGGATCGAGCCCTGCATCGGGCTCTCTGCTCCGCAGGGAGCCTGCTTCCTCCCCTCTCTCTCTGCCTGCCTCTCTGCCTACTTGTGATCTCTCTCTCTCTGTCAAATAAATAAAATCTTAAAAAAAAAAAACAAAAAAAACAAAAAAACAAAACTGAGGTTGTCAGTTCATTAGCTCCCCTAGCGGCTGAAAGCTTGTTGACTTGAAGTATCAAGTTTTTGTTCATTATTATATTTCTAATACCTACTATGGTGTCTAAAATACTGAAGGCAGGGCTCCTGGGTGGCTCAGTCAGTGAAGCCTCTGCCCTCAGCTCATGTCATGATCCCAGGGTCCTGGGATTCAGCCCCACTTCGGGCTCCCTGCTCAGTGGGAGTCTGCTTCTCCCTCTCCCTCTGCCCCTCCACTTCGCTCATGCTCTCTTTCTCTCTCTCAAATAAATAAATAAAATCTTTTTAAAAGTTAAAAAAATTAAAATAAAATACTGAAGGCATTAGGTAAATGTTGAAAGGCTGAACAAAAGAGTCAGCAGCTGACATGACAAAGCAATGTCTGTTTTATCATAACTCACCTATAGGCCTTTGCAAAGCAAGTTATGTATTTTGTATCAAGTTATCTGGCTTGAAGGTAAAATAGAACCCGTACAGGTATTTGTTGACAATTCAGGTAATCCAACATAGCAAATAATTTCAGGAGCTGTTTGCTATTTGCACACAAAAGGGTAACTGAATTGGGTATTGTATTAAAATATTCTGTTTAGAATTTGATCACATTTCTATCCAAATACTGCATCCTATTTCTCCCTTGCAGGTTCAGTTATTTAGGAACAATTAGTGATTCTAATAATTTTTTAAAGATTTATTTACTCATCTTAGAGGTAGAGAGTGGAGGGTAGGGGCAGAGGAAGAGAATCTTTAAGCTGACTCCGACTGAGCGTGGACCCCGACGTGGGGCTCGATCCCACAACCCTGAGATCATGACCTGAGCTGAAACCAAGAGCCAGATGCTTAACTGACTGAGCCACCCAGTTTTCCCTGATTCTAATCATTTTTATCTGCACATTAAAGCCTTTTTTTTTCGCTCCTCTAATTTAACATATTATAATTTTTTACCAAAAGCTTAACCTTATTTCATTTAGGGACTAAGCATAAAGGATATGGTTCCTGGGATTACAAGGTAGTCTTTTTCACACCTGAAGTGATAGGAAATACCTGGCAGAATGGCTAAAATAGACAACAAAAGAAAAACAAGTGTTGGTAAGGACGTAGAGAAAGGGGAACCCTCTTGCGCTGTTGCTGGAAATGCAAACTGGTGCAGCCACTCTGGATAACAGTAGGAAGGTTCCTCAAAAAGCTAAAAATAGAACTACCCTGCAACCCAGAAATTACACTCCTAGGTATTTACCCGAAGAATCCAAAAATACTAATTCAAAGGGACACATGCATCCCAATGTTTATAGCAGCATTATCAATAATAGCCAAATTACGGAAATAGCCCAAATGTCCATCAACTGATGAATGGATAAGGAAGATGTGAGATATATATATATATATATATATACACACACACACACACACACACACACAAAATGGGATATCATTGAGCCATAAAAAAGAATGAAATCTTGCCATTTACAAGGACATGGATAGAGCTAGAGAGTATTATGCTAAGTAAAATAAGTGAGAAAAAGACAAATACCATATGATTTCACTCATATGTGGAATTTAAAAAACAAAACAGTTGAACATGGAGGGGGGAAGACAAATCAGAAAACAGACTCTTTTCAAAAATTTTACATTCAATTAATTAACATATAATATATTATTGGTTTCAGAGGTACAGGTCTGTAATTCATCAGTCTTATATAACATCCAGTGCTTATTACATCGCATGCCCTCCTTAATGCTCACCACACAATTACCCCATCCTTTACCTCTCTCCCCTTCAGAAAGCCCTCAATTTGTTTCCTATGATTAGGAGTCTCCTGGTGCGCCTAAGTGGCTAAGTCAGTTAAGTGTCTGCCTTCAGCTCAGGTCATGATCCCAGAGCTCTGGGATCAGGTCCCACATTGGGCTCGCTGCTCAGTGGGGAGCCTGCTTCTCCCTTTCACACTCCCCCTGCTTATGCTCTGTCTCTCTCTCACTCTATCTGTCAAATAAATAAGTAAAATCTTTTTTTTTTTTTAAGAGTCTCTTATGGAGGAAAACAGACTCTTAACTATAGAGAGCAAACTGATGGTTACGGGGGGGGTGGGGGGTGGGTTAAATAGGTGATGGGAATTAAGGAGGGCACTTGTAATGAGCACCAGGTGATGTATGGAAGTGTTGAATCACTATACTGTACACTTGAAAATAATATTACACTGTATGTTAACTAATTAGAATTTAAATTAAAACTTAAAAAAAAGAATATTAAAGAGACGTGAACCCAAAAATAAAGTGCCAAAAATATTTTCTGTATTTGTATACTAACTTAAGAGTTGTTGGCTTCTTCATCCTAGGCATGCTGCTTGCTGGGTTTCTTCTCAGGAATATCCCTGTCATCAGTGATAACATACAGACCAAGCACAAGTGGTCTTCTGCTTTAAGAAGCATAGCCCTGTCTGTCATATTGGTCCGTGCTGGCCTTGGACTTGATTCAAAGGTATGAAGTGTAAATTTCTAATTGTTGACCAGGAATTGTATTCTTCCAATACTGCACTTCTTGGGAATCACTGAGCTTTAGACACTATGTGTGACAGTCTCAAGAAGAGAATGGAGTTTATTTCATGCAGGGTGACTATTCCCAGAAGATATCCCATATTTTTTTCTTGGAGTGTTGTGGAATTACTGTCTGGGGACAGCACTGAGAATAAAGGCTCCCCTTTTCTCTGACAGAGATCTAGGTCATCCTTGTAAATAATGGTCATGAGAGAAAATACTACATTTTTGGTGTGCAAAGCCATATGCTAGTATTTAGGGCTAACTATACCAGCTCAAGAAGCTGTGTGGTACATAAGATGAGTCTCAAGCATGCTTATTTTAATGCAATTTCTAATGCATGTTTTTGAATGAGAGAATGAATGTTCTTAGGGATGAGGATTTTCACTCTGGCCTCTTTATTTAAAAAGTTAATTCAGAGTGTTCAATCAGCTAGTTTGGGTATTACTGAGCACAGACTCTAGAACATCCTGCCTGAGTTCAAACCTAGCTGCATAACTCACCAATTCCATGATCTTGGGCAACTAACTTTAACTGGTGCATTTTTAGATGAGGATGTCTAAAAATAATGGGGATAAAAATATTACCTATATCATAAGGTTGCTATGAGGACTGAAAACACTTAGAACACTGAAATGTTTGTTAAATAAAACTCATTACCTGGAAAATTCATGATAACCCAGACATGGTCTGAGTACTGAAGAAAAGCTATTAATGTAATAATCTCTTCCTGTCTTTATAGGATTATTTTAGCATCTCTATTTATATATTTCAGGCCCTGAAGAAGTTGAAGGGTGTTTGTGTAAGATTATCCATGGGTCCTTGCCTGGTGGAGGCGTGCACGTCTGCTCTTCTTGCCCACTTCCTAATGGGTTTACCATGGCAATGGGGATTTATACTGGGGTAATGGTTTTTCTTTGTCATATGAAAATAATGCAGGGATGTTGAGGGCTTTCTCTGATTCCATACAAGAGAATCCACAACAGATTTTCTTAAGGATGTCAGAAATTACAACATAGATATTCTAGCATCATCTAAATATTATAACTTCAAAATATACTGTATATAGAATATCTCCAACTGGGCGCCTGGGTGGCTCAGTCATTAAGCATCTGCCTTCCGCTCAGGTCATGATCCCAGGGTCCTGGGATAGAGCCAGGGAGCCTGCTTCTCTCTCTGTCCCTCCCCCTTCCTGTGTTCCCTCTTTCGCTGTGTCTGTCTCTGCCAAATAAATAAATAGAATCTTTAAAAAACAAACAAACAAAAAACCCTAAACATTTAAAAAAGAAAAAAGAGTATCTCTAACTTTCACAACGATTATGATTTAAACTATTGAAAAAGTAAGGGTCTTTTACCTACACCTGATGCCATGCTGGTAAGAGAAATGCCACCTTTCAACCTCAAAGTCTGTGCAAAAGATAATAAATACGTCAACAGTAATCAACCCCTAATGCTGTTTTTCTCCTTCTGACAACAGACAATTATGATTAGGTGGTTCTGCTGTCTCTTCCTTCCACTGACAGTTCTTCAAGTGGTCAACAGCCATGAGAAGTAAATAAATGTAAAAGTACTTAGTAAGAATTTAGTACTAATAAGTAGGCAAGAAGCAAGAAATTCTTACTTTTTATGGTGGAGACTGTGGAGCTGTACTGCCTGGATTCCAACCCCAGCCCTGTGACATTCCAGTACGTGACTTTTGGCAAGGTCATGAATCCCTCCACATCTCAATCTCCTAATTTACAGAATGAAGATTGTTGGACTAAATTAGTTAATATATGTAAAGGACTTAAAATAGTGTTTGGCACCCAGTAACCACCATATAACATTTTCTGCTGTTAACAGCTCCTACTGGGGTTACTATAGCCAGGACTGCCATTATGGCCTTCTCTAATCCATTGTCTGTATTACGTACCAAGTCCTGACAGAAGGTCTAACATCAGTCAGTTCCAATTTAAAAAGTCCACAACTGTGTTTTTCAGCCGTCATACCGTGAATGTGTGTGTTTACTTTTAAAGGCAGATTCTTGAAACTTAACCCCATGAGGGCTTCCTTACCACCCATAATTATGTATTTTCCAGCAACCTAAGTAGTTCCAGTACAACTTGTTTGTGGCCACACTTGGAAAAAGGGCTCTATAGAGTTTGTGTGTGTGTGTGAGTGTGCGTGTGCTGTGTGTGTGTGTGTTTCTGGCTTAGTGCTTTGCTGCCATTGTAGTTGTTTAAAGTGTAACTTCTAAAACAGTAGAGTTTACTGAATTTCCACAACAGTAATAACAATGCGTAAAGTGCTATCAACTGTTTGAAGTGCTGCCTACTTAGTTTTGTTTTAGGTGCTGTATCTCCAGCTGTCGTGGTACCCTCAATGCTCCTTTTGCAGGAAGGAGGCTATGGGGTTGAAAAAGGCATCCCGACCTTACTCATGGCTGCTGGCAGCTTCGATGACATTCTGGCTATCACTGGCTTCAACACATGCTTGGGCATGGCCTTTTCCACAGGTAAACTGGTCAGTTCCCAATGAGCTGTTCTCTTGTGCTGTAAAGACATAAATTATGATGTGACAAGCTAGGCATATTTGCTTGGTAGTTGAATAAGGCAGACTGAAATAGAGAAAGCAACTCCAAGCGTTAGTTCTATACCCAAAGCAGGGCCAGTAGCTTTCTATTTTATTCCCTTCAACCTCTGGACATGGACTCTCCAAGTGGTCTGGTAAGTGCATTAGTGGGGGATCCAGAGTAGCCAGGTTTAAGGAAGGATTTGAATGGCTTTTGCAATGAGCCTTCTGGGAAAGTGAAATATTGCAGACTTCACACATAGATGAGTAGGTTTTTCAAAGAGCATAAATGACCTGCAAGCAGTCCAAGCAGAAGGAGCATCATTCTTCTAAAATAGGAATAGTTTCTGCTCTCTTCTCTTTAACAATTTATGGGCAATAACCACAATGATTTTAATGTGTATCTTATTAGTATTTACAAGTGTCCAATATAGATATATTTTGTGCTAAATAGTAATAAGAGAAGGGCCAAGGCACTGTTTTTCCCACACTATTATCAACACTTTTACTCTCCTTTAACACAGCACAAGTTTCTTTTTAATCCATATCCAAGATTGGGAGATAAGATCTGCAATTCAATATTATTGGCAAAATGTAATTGTGGCGTAAGTTTAGCTTCCAAGAATTATGGGAAACACTTTCTTGAAAGGTCATATGTTCTCAGTTTCTCTACCCCCATAGTATATTCCCAATTACAATTTATGCTGATTACCTAGAACCTCACCTCTTCCCATTGCCCTAACGTTGCCTTTAGACATCCAATCACTAAATTAATCTTACCAAAATATAGTTCTCATAGTGCTACTTTTTGGTACAAGAACCAATGAGGATTTGCTATTACCTATTAGATCAAATCTATACTCTTGTCTTTATTTTCATTCTGCTGTATGTGTCCAAACCTGTTCTCACTGATCTCCTGGTATGCTTCTTTATTTATTTTGTTATTTTGTTACTTTATTGTTTTCTCTTTCCCAGCTTTATTGAGGTATATGTGACAAATTCTAAGACATTTAAAGCATGTGGTGTGATGCCTAGTATATATGTATACATTGTGAAATGATCCTCTTTTTGAATTAAATAACACTTCCATTACCTCACATATTTACCTTTTGTTGTTGCTGTTGTTGTTGAGAACATTTAAGTTCTACTTTCTTAGCCAATTTCATTTATCCAATATAGTTAACAGTTACCATGTTAAACATTAGATCCTCAGACCTCATTCATCTTATTGTGAAAGTTTGTACCCTTTTACCAGGCTCTCCCTTTTCCCCTACCCCCTAACCCCTGGCAACCACTTTTCTACTCTCACTGTCTGAGTTAAACATTCTGTTTGTTTGCATCTTTGAAACAGTGTTCTCAACCTCAGTTGCACACTAGAATTACCTGGGGAGCTTTTAAAAATATTCATCTGTGGGCACCACCTCAGACCAATTAAATCAGAGCCTTTGGGAATGGAAACCAGGCATCAGAGCAAGAGTTTGCATTAGAACCATAGGGGTTGGAAAGACGAGAAATTGGGGGAGGTGAGGGAAGGCTTACTGGGGTTTTCATAACCTGGGGAGTATTATTTACTGTAATTGCTTGAGACATATCACAGCTAGATGCTTCTGACAGTCACACCATCACCTAACAAAGAGCTGCTCTAGCAAAATAAAATTACGACTGAGGTAATTACTTTTTTAAATAAGAGAGATGATTGAAACTATCAGGAAGGAAAAACGGTTGCCCCTCTACCCACCTTAGGTCCATTGGCTGGGGCCCTGTAAATCAGACTGACAAATACAAATTAACAAGAGAAAAGCAGTTTGCCAGCCTGTGCACCAAGCTTACAGATGGGAGTACTCAGTGATGACTAACTCAAAGGGGTGGTTAGAATTTGGGGGCTTATCTCTATGGCATCTGAGCAAAGAACAGTAATTTTGTAGAGAAGTGCAAGGTAAAGGAAAAAAACTTAGCTATTGAAGGCAGCAAATTGTGGGAAGGCAAATTGGGACACTAATGGTAGCTAGGGCTGCTTTTAGTGAAGTTTGTTACACAGATTCCTCTGATGTCATCTTTAGGCTGATAAGAGCCTAAAGTTGTCTCAGCGGTTAACTTCTGTCCTTCCTGGTAGAGGGGAGAAGGACACTTTAAAAAGGTATGTCCTTCTTTTAGGTAAATAGGGGAAGATGGACATCTTTTCTTGATTCTGTTTCTTCTCAGTTGCCTTCTGCTCAAAATAATCCTTATGTGAAAGTGGCCTACCTTGGGATGGCATGTTCTATTACCCTAAACTACCATAATGAGAAACCACATAACTAGTTGTACGTTTTTTCTTAGAACAGTGTGGGAGAAAGGACCTTATGTGTTTGAGCAATTTATTATAATTTTCTGTACAATGTGCTAACAAGTTTTTAAAATTATTCTAAATTCTGTTTGCTATGGAAGAAAATAGAGGCTCTACTTACCTGTATATTTCTTGTTTTATTGTTTTTTGGGGCTTTTGTTAGTTTGATTTTTTTTATGTCAAGTTTTTTTTTTTTTTAATCCCAGTTAATATAAAGTGTAATATTAGCTTCAGGAGTAGAATTTAGGGATTCATCACTTACATACAATGCCCAGAGCTCATGAGAACACATGCCCTCCATAATACCCATGACCCATTTAGCCCATCCCTCATCCACTTTCACTCCAGAAACCCTGTTTGTTCTCTCTAGTTAAAAGTCTGGGGGCACGTGGGTGGCTCAGTGGGTTAAAGCCTCTGCCTTCAGCTCAGGTCATGATCCCAGGGTCCTGGGATCAAGCCCCGCATTGGACTCTCTGCTCTGCAGGGAGCCTGCTTCCCCCAATCTCTCTGCCTGCCTCTCTGCCTACTTGTGATCTGTCTGTCAAATAAGTAAATAAAATCTTTAAAAAAAAAAGATTTTTTTAATAATAAAATAAAATAAAAGTCTGTTCCTTTTTTTTAATCCCTCTCTCTCATTTTTATCCCTATGTTCCTCTGTTTCATTTCTTATTCCATGCATGAGTAAAATCATATGGTATTTGTCTCTGACTATCTAGCTTAGCATAAAACTCTCAAGCTCCATCCATGTCATTGCAAATAGCAAGATTTCATTCTTTTTCGTGGCTGAGTAATATTCCATTATTTTACCACCTCTTCTTTATCCATTCATCAGTCAGTGGACATTTGGGCTCCTTCTATAATTTAGTTATTAATGATAACACTGCTATAAACATAGGGGTGCATGTATCCCTTCAAATCATTACTTTTGTATCCTTTAGGTAAACACTCAGGAGTGCAATTGCTAGATCATAGGGTAGTTCTATTTTTAACTTTTTGAGGAATGTCCATACTGTTCTCCAGAGTGGCTGCACTAGTTTGCATTCCCACCAACAGTGTAAAAGGGTTCCCCTTTCCCTATATCCTTGCCAACACCTGTTGTTCCATGTATTGTTAATTTTAGCCATTCTGACAGATGTGAGGTGATATCTCATTGTAGTTTTGATTTATAATTTCCTGATAATCAGTGACATTGAGCATTTTTCCATGTGTCTCTTAGCCATCTATTAGTCACTCACTTCTTTGGAGAAGTGTCTATTCATGTCTTCTGTCCATTTCTCAACTGGATTACTTGGGGGGAGTGCTAAGTTTTATAAGTTCTTTATCAATTTTGGATATTAACTCTTTATCAGATATGTCATTTGCTAATATCGTCTCCCATTCTTGAAGGGTGACTTTTAGTTTAGTTGATTATTTCCTTCACTGTGCAGAGGTTTTTACCTTGATGAAGTCCCAATAGTTCATTTTAGCTTTTGTTTCCCTTGCCCCAGAAGACATATTTGGTAAGAAGTTGCTATGGCCAGGGTCAAAGAGGTTGCTGCCTATGTTCTCTTCTAGGATTCTGACGGTTTCCTGTCTCACATTTAGGTCTTTTATGCATTTTAGGTTTATTTTTGTGTATAGTCTAAGAAAGTGCTCAAGTTTCCCCAACATCATTTGTTGAAGAGACTTTTTTCCACTGGGTATTCTTTCCTGCTTTGTCGAAGATGAGTTGACCGTAGAGTTGAGGGTCCATTTCTGAGTTCTCTGTTCTGTTCCATTGATCTAAGTGTCTGTTTTTGTGCCAGGGCCATACTGTCTTGGTGATTATAGCTTCGTAATAGAGCTTGAAGTCCGGAATTGTGATGCCTTGAGCTTTGCTTTTCTTTTTCAAGATTGCTTTGGCTATTCAGGGTCTTTAGTGGTTCCATACCAATTGTAGAATTGTTCTAGCTTTGTGAAAAATGGTGGTTGTATTTTCATAGATATTGCGTTAAATATGTAGATTGCTTTGGGTAGTATATAAATTTTAACAGTATTTGTTCTTCCAATCCATGAGCTTGGGATGTTTTTCCATTTCTTTGACTTTTCTTTCATTTCTTTCATAAGTGTTCTATAATTTTCAGAGTACAGATACCTCTTTGTTTAGGCTTATTCCTAAGCATCTTAATGGGTTTTGGTGCAATTGTAAATGGGATTTATTCCTTGATTTCTCTTTCTGCTGCTTCATTATTGGTGTGTAGAAATGCAACAGATTTCTGTATGCTGATTTTGTATCCTGCAACTTTCTGAATTTGTGTATCACTTCTAACAATTTTTTGGTGGTCTTTTGGGTTTTCTACATAGAGTATCATGTTGTCTGCAAATAGTGAAAGTTTGAGTTCTTACTTACTGATTTGGATACCTTTTACTTCTTTTTGCTTTTTGATTGCTGAGGCAAGAACTATGCTAAATATGAGTGGTGAGAGTGGACACCCCTGGATTGTTCCTGACTGTAAAGGAAAATCTCTGTTTTCCCCGTTGAGAATGATATTTGTGGTGGATCTTTTGTATATGGCCTTTATGATATTGAGGTATATTCCCTCTATCTCTATTTTGTTGAGCATTTTTGTCAAGAATGGATGCTGTACTTTGTCCGATTTTTTTCTGCATCTATTGAGAGGATCATATGGCTTTTATCCTTTCTTTTCTTAACACGGTGTATCATGTTGACTGATTTGTGAATATTGAACCATCCTTACAACCCAGGAATAAATCCCACTTAATCGTGGTGAATTATTCTTTTACTGTACTATAGGGTTCCCTTTGCTAGTATTTTGTTGAGAATTTTTGCATCCATGTTCATCAGTGATACGGACCTATAAGTCTCTTTTTTAGTGTGGTCTTTGTCTGGTTTGGAGGTCAAGGTAATGTTGGTCTCATATCATGAGTCTGGAAGTATTCTTTCCGTTTCTACTTTTTGGAACAATTTGAGAAGAATACATAGTAAGTCTTCTCTAAATGTTTGATAGAATTCCCCTGGAAAGGCATCTGGCCCTGGATTCTTGTTTGTTGGGAGGTTTTTACAGTCAAATGCTCTACCACTGAGCTATACCCCCAGGTGGGAGATTTTTGATTCAATTTCTTTTCTGGTTATTGATCTGTTCAAGTTTTCTCTTTCTTCCTGTTTTGGTTTTGGTAGTTTATATGTCTCTAGGAATTTGCCCATTTCTTCCAGATTGCCCAATTTGTTGGCATATAATTTTTCATAATATTCTTTTATAATTACTGGTGTTTCTATGATGTTGGTTGTGATCTCCCTTCTCTCATTTGTGGTTTTATTTATTTGGGCCTTTTCTCCTTTTTTTTTTTTTTTTTCCAATAAGTATGGTTAGGAGTTTATCAGTTTTATTAATTTTTTCAAAAACCAGCTCCTGATTTCATTGATCTGTTCTACTGGGGTTTGTTGTTTGTTTGTTTCTGTATCATTTATTTATGCTTTAATCTATATTATTTCCCTTCTTCTGGCTTTAGGCTTCATTTGTTGTTCTTTTTCTAGCTCCTTTAGTTGTAAGGTTATATTGTATATTTGAGATTTTTCTTGCTTCTCTAGGTAGGCCTGTATTGCTATCTACTTCCCTTTATGACTGCTTTTGCTGTATCCCAAAGGTTTTGGAGTGTCATGTTTTCATTATCATTTGTTTCCATGTATTTTTTTATTTTTTTCTTTAATTTTCCTGGTTGCCTCATTCATTCCTTAGTAGGATGTTTTTTTCCCCCCTAAAATTTGATTTATTGATTTATAGAGAGAGTGAGCAGGGGAAGGGGCAAAGGGAGAGAAAGAATCTCAAGCGGACTACACCCGGAGTGTGGAGCCCAGTACAGGACTCATTTTCACAACACTGAGATCATGACCTGAGCTGAAATCAAGAGTCAAACCCTTAAATGACTGAGCCACCGAGGTGCCCCTCGTAGAGTGTTCTATAACCTCCATGTATTTGTCGTCTTTCCAAATTTTTTCTTGTTTCTTCAAGTTTCATAGTGTTGTGGTCAGAAAATATGCACGGTATTATCTTAGTCTTTTTGTACTTTTTGAGGTCTGATTTGTGACCTGGAGAATGTCCCATGTGCACTTGAAAAGATTGTGCATTCTGCTTTAGAATGAAATGTTCTGAATGTATCTGTTAAGTCCATCTAATGTAGTGTGGCATTCAAAGCCATTGTTTCCTTGTTGATTTTCTGCTTCAATGATCTGTCCATTGATGTAACTGGGGTTTTAAAGTCCCTTAGTATTATTGTATTATTATCAATGAGTCATATTATGATACTTAAAGAGGCTATGCAACAAATAAAGACTCTTCTGGAAGCAATTTAAAAAATAATTTGTTTTCAGACTTCTAGAAATAACTTTTGAGGGATACCTGGGTGGTCAGACAGTTAAGCAACTGCCTTTGGCTCAGGTCATGATCTCAGGTGCCTTGGATGGAGCCCTGCATTGGGCGCCCTACTCAGCAGAGAGCCTGCTTCTCCCTCCCCTTCTCCCCCTATTCCCTGCTCATACTCTACTCTTTCTCTCTCTCTATCACAAATAAATTAAAAAAATCTTTTAAAAGAAAAAAAAATAACTTTTGTGAAAGAATAAATCCCCTATACTCACTATAGTAAGAAAAGATTCTTGGGGCTCCTGGCTGACTCATTTGGAAGGGCATGTGACTCCTGATCTTGGGGTTGTGAGTTCAAGCCCTACATTGGGTGTAGAAATTACAAATAAATAAATAAGTAAAATTAAAAAAGAAAAAGATTTTTTATTTTAATTGCCAGATTTTTAAAATACTATATTCTATACATATCAGAGCTACTAAAATCAATATATATTATTAGTAAAAAAAAAAATTAGGCTCTAAAATGGCAATTTGAAAAGTAGATATGTCTTCTCACGTAGACTTTGCCTATTGTATAGTAAAACAAATCAGCTATGACTCATCAATTTTATCTTTCATATTTTCTTAGGCCCTTTAAGTAAATTTTTATTGAAGTGGATAAACAAAAAAGAACAGAAATCATATCTTTTGCCTGTCTTGAAATTTATCTTCAATAATATGCATAGCTTTCATATAATATAGGTCCATTTTATTAAACATTTTAAGTCACATATATTTAAGAATGTGGAGAACAGGAAATATCTATATAATTTTCCTTCTATGTAATTAGATGCTTTATGTTGATGATTAAAGTCTAAGTATTTATGGATTTAGAGTTCTGTCTAAAGTTTTTCTTTTTATATGTTTTTAAGGTTCCACAGTTTTTAACATTCTCAGAGGAATCTTAGAAGTGGTAATTGGTGTGGCAGCTGGATCTCTTCTTGGATTTTTTATTCAGTACTTTCCAAGCAGTGACCAGGTAAAATAAATAATCTATGGGAAAGTAGTCTTTAAAATGTCATTGGAAAACATTCTGGAATAGTCCCCTGAAAGCCAATGTGAAAAATATAATTTAGAAATGGCTCCCCATTCTAAAACTGCTTATTGCCAAATCAGTGCCATCCAAGAGATTTATAAAGAGGGCTAGATACACATTTGACCCTTGAACAATGTAGGGATTAGGGGCACAGACCCCCTATATGGTAAAAAATCCATGTATAACTTTTGAGTCCCCCAAAATTTAGCTACTAATAGCCCACTGTTGACAAGAAGCCTTTCTGATAACATAAACAGTGGATTAACACATATTTTGCATGTTGTATATATTATACACTGTGTTCTTACAATAAAGTAAGCTAGAGAAAAGAAAATGTTATTAAGAAAATCATAAGGCTTCATTGGAGAAGTGTCTATTCATATCTTCTGCCCATTCTTTCTCAAACTCAACATGCACAAAACAGATAATCATGTCAAAAAAATGGGCAAAAGATATGAACAGACACTTCTCCAATGAAGACATATAAATGGCTGTCAGACACATGAAAAAATTTATCTTCAATAAATTAATCACTAGCCATCAGGGAGATTCAAATTAAAACCACATTGAGATACCACCTTACACTAGTTAGAATGGCCAAAATTAGCAAGACAGGAAAAAACGTGTGTTGGAGAGGATGTGGAGAAAGGGGAACCCTCTTACACTGTTGATGGGAATGCAAGTTGGTGCAGCCACTTTGGAAAACAGTGTGGAGATTCCTTAAGGAATTAAAAATAGAGCTTCCCTATGACCCTGCAATTGCACTACTGGGTATTTACCCCAAAGATACAGATGTAGTGAAAATAAGGGCCATCTGTACCCCAATGTTCATAGCAGCAATGGCCATGGTCAGCAAACTGGAAGGAACCAAGATGCCTTCAAAGGATGAATGGATAAGGAAGATGTGGTCCATATACACTATGGAGTATTATGCCTCCAACAGAAAGGATGAATACCCAACTTTTGTAGCAACATGGGTGAGACTGGAAAAGATTATGTTGAGTGAAATAAGTCAAGCAGAGAGAGTCAATTATCATATGGTGTCACTTATTTGTGGAGCATAACAAATAACATGGAGGACATAGGGAGATGGAGAGGAGAAGGGAGTTGAGGGAAACTGGAAGGGGAGATGAACCATGAGAGACTATGGACTCTGAAAAACAACCTGAGGGTTTTGAAGGGGCGGAGGATGGGAGGTTGGGGGAGCCAGGTGGTGGGTAATATGGAGGGCATGTATTGCATGGAGCACTGGGTGTGGTGCATAAACAATGAATTCTGTTACGCTGAAAAGAAAAAAAAAGAAATTTAAAAAAAGAAAGAAAGAAAATTGTAAGGAAGAGGGGCGCCTGGGTGGCTCAGTGGGTTAAAGCCTCTGCCTTCGGCTCAGGTCATGATCCCAGGGTCCTGGGATTGAGCCCCGCATCCTGCTCTCTGCTCGGGAGGGAGCCTGTATCCCCCTCTCTCTCTACCTGCCTCTCTGCCTACTTGTGATTTCTGTCAAATAAATAAATAAAATCTTAAAAAAAAAAGAAAAAAGAAAAGAAAATCATAAGGAAGAGAAAATACACTTACAGTACTGTATTGATTAAAAAAATCTGCATGTAAGTGGACCCATTGCAGCTCAAACCTGTGTTATTAAGCATTAACTGTATAAGATTTTAATACAACCCTAAAATTTTTTCCTCTAATTTATATTCAGTAAACTTTAAATTTCACTGAAGAATAAATAACACCAATTTCCAAATATGTAAACCGTTTTTATTGTTTTTATTTCTTATTTTACTATTATAATGTTCAAGTAATCAAAATGTAAAATGACTTTTGGGCCCCCATTTTTAGTATTAGCATACCCTAGATTCTAATACCATCAAATACCTAAACCTTAACATCTCCTTATAGTATCATCCAATATTTCTTACCAAGGAGATCAAAGTTCTTTGTTATACACAATGACTTCTTAATATTACAGAGTTCTTTTTTTTGTTTTGTTTTCTTTTACCCTCCTAAGTCTCTTGGGATAAACGCATAAAAATCTTGTTTGTTTCCTATAAGAAATGGCATTATTTTGAGATTTTAGGGCATTTTGAATGGAACTAGAAATTTAACTAAAGTAGAACGTGAAGAACATTAATATTTCTGTAAGGTTTTACAGGCGAGATAAACACGACACCAGGCGAAGTGGGTGCAAGGCGAGATTTATTAAAGGCACTCTCCTGCGCAGTTTCAGGGCTCAGGAGAAGGGGAGCCAGGAAAGTTGCGCCAGGAGGAGGTCGGCGCCCTCTGGCAAGGTTCCGAGACTCTGGAAAGCAGAGTGGCGGAAGTCGCGCCAAGGCAGGGAGAAGGGAGATTTTAAGGGGTTTCGAGGGGAGTTCAGGGGTCTTTTGGCAAGTTTCCCTTATTTGGATATTTCGCCTGCTTGTCGGGGTCCCATTGGTCCACGGGAGCCCGGAGCGGGGGTGGGGGGACACGGTGTGTGTCTGATTCCTGCTTGGGTCTTTGTTCTCCTGTCCGAGCTCAGGTTTTGTGGCGGGAACTTTCGCCATCTTAAGTAGCCCTTTCTTTCTGCCAGCCCAACAATTTCCATTAGCAGAAGGTATGCTGATTTGAATTTTTGCTATGCTCCAAAAAATTCCATCTAAAATTGTAAAAGATTTTATGAATGCATAAAAGAAAATCATGGGATTTTCTAATTATACAACAAAATAAAGAGAAAAATGACTTACTTTTTGTTGCTTATTCTATATAAAATGAGAGGTAAGTACAGTAAAGTGCCATTCCATTCAATATGGCAGCCACTAGCTAGCTACATGTGGCTATAGCAGATAGAGAACATTCCAATGGAGCATATATAGAAATTTCCATCATCACTGACTGTTCTTTTGGAAAGCATTGATCCATTGCAAGCATATAAATCTATGCAATCTACTGTAAACCACATAAGACCCATGAAGCAAGTACTATTAATATGATCTTTTTGCTGATGAGGAAATTGAGATTCAGGAAGAAGCTGAAAAAGTTGACATAGCTGGAAAGCAGCAGAGCTGGGAATGAACTCTGGTAGTTCACTACCAGAGCCTGCATGCCTCCAAATCAAGTACTTCTAAAGACCCACTTGCCTTCTAAAGTGATCAAGAAGCTTGGACCATGACAACATTTTTCTAGATATGTTTCCTAAGGCAAGGGAAACAAAAGCAAAAATAAGCTATTGGAACAACATCAAAATAAAAGGCTTTTGCATAATGAAGGAAACCATCAACAAAACTAAAAGACAACCTACTGAATGAGAGAAGATATTTGCAAATGATATAGCCAATAGGGCTTAGTATCCAAAAAATATAAAGAACTTATACAATTTTTAAAAAAAAAAGAACTTTTACAACTCATCACCAAAAGAACACAAATAATCCAATTAAAAATGGGCAGAGTACCTGAATAGATATTTTCCCAAAGAAGATATACAGATGGACAACAGACATATGAAAAGATGCTCATCATTACTTATCATCAGGGAAATGCTAATCAAAACCACAATAAAACATTACCTTACACCTGTCAGAATGGCTAAAATAAAAAAGACAAGAAATAACAAGTGTTGACAAGGCTACAGAGAAAAAGAAACCCTTGAGCACTGTTGGTGGGAATGTAAATTGGTACAGCCACTATGGAAAACATTATGGAGGTTCCTCAAAAAATTAAAAATAGGAATACCAGATGACCCAGTAACTCTACTACTGGATATTAACTCAAAGAAAACACTAATTTGAAAAGACTGTGCACCCCTGTTTACCACAGCATTATTTACAATAACCAAGATATGGAAGCAACATAAGTGTCCATTGACAGATGAATGGAAAAGGAAGGTGTGGTATGTATACAATGGAATGTTGAGCAGCCATAAAAAAGGTTGAGATCTTGCCATTTACAACTACATGGATGGCTCTAGAGGATATTATGCTAAGTGAAATAAATCAGACTGAGAAAGACAAATAGCCTATGATTTCACTCATATATGGAATCTAAAAGCAAAACAAATGAATAAACAAAAAGCAGAATCGGAACTGTAAATACAGAGAACAAACTGTTGGTTGCCAGAGGGGTGGGGGAAGGGGAAATGGGAAAAAAGAGTGAAAGGGAGCAGAAGTTACCTCCCTTCAGAAATGGAGTAAGTCATGGGAATAAGAGGCATGGCACAGGGAATATAGTCAGTGATACTGTAATAGCATTGTATGGTGACAGCTGATAGCTATGCTTGTAAGCATAGCACACCATAGAGAGAAGTGAATTACTGTGTTGTATACCTGAAACTAATGTAACATTGTGTGTCAACTACACTCAAAAAAATTAAAAATTATTTTAAAATTTAAAAAAGTGATGAGAAGTTTAAAAGGCTGTTGAGAGAAAAGTAAAGGAAGAGAGGTGCACATTTCTTAGACCTTTAACAACAACAAAAAAACTACTCTCAATCTATAGCCACTTAAATCTTCTCGATTTTGAAGGGTTTAGAATGAAAAACCAGGAAAGCATCACAATGAAGAGTCAAGAGACTAAAAATAATAGAGATATCACATCTATAACCTTCACAAAAACCCTGTAGCATAACTGTTTTCAGAGAGGAGGAAACAAAGCCTGAAGAAGTTAGGTAATGGGAGCCCTCCATACTCTAGGGGTATAAAAGAGCTGGAATTCTAACTCTGGTCTGTCTGGCTCCAAAGCCCATGCACTTTTTTCTGCTGTTGCATTCAGCCCTCTGAAATTCCATTTTTGATAACTGCAGAGGAAGGTAACTAGTGTTCCTGAAAGAGGAACCAGCATCTGTACATGTGCCAACTCTACCTTCATGAAGGAAAAGACAGCAAATGTTACAGCGTGCATTTATGGCACGGACAGACATTTTTATTTCCCACTAAGTCCTGAATATGGAAAAATCAATCATTAAAAAATCAGCTATATGAAATAATTGATCTAATCAACCTCTTTTCTCTCCTCAAGGACAAACTCGTGTGGAAGAGAGCATTCCTTGTTTTGGGGCTGTCCGTGCTAGCTGTGTTCAGCAGCGTGTATTTTGGTTTCCCTGGGTCGGGAGGACTGTGCACATTGGTCATGTCCTTCCTTGCAGGCTTGAGATGGGCCAGCGAAAAGGTGAATTTTAAGTTCTTCTACTCATTTAAGTTATTTCTGATCAGATAAATTTTTTCTTTCCAGATACTTTCTTCATATCAAGTTAATAAATTATTTAATCATAAGAGCTATTTTCTATGCATGTGTAAATATATCCCAAGTGTAAACACATGTGTCCTCTTCCCCCTTATATACAAATCTATAATTTGATATCTTTACTTAAAATACATCATGGTCATGTTTCCATGCTGCCTTCCTTATTCTTTGTAAGGGCTAGAGAGTATTATATTGTGTGCTGTATTATAATTAACCAGTCTCATATTAACAGATATTTGGATTGTTTCTGGTTTTCTGCTAAGATAAAAACTGTTTCAATAAAATATCCTACCATATTTTATATATCCTGCCGTATAAAATATCCTGCCATATTTTATAAACTCTAACACATCATCAGGTATAAAAAGCACCATTATTTGACCATGCCACCAAGAATTTTACATGCCACCAAAAATGAAAAACAATGCTGTTTCTAAACTATGATATGACATCCTAGTTTCAGAAATGAGAAATTGGGGGAAAATCAACAAAATATAATATACTTTATCTACAGGATAAATTTCTAGGAACACAATTCCTCTATGAAAGAAAATGCACATTGATGCTTTTAATAATATCAGTTTACCCTTTTAAAAGACTGCACCAATTTGTATTCTCACCAACAGTGTGTGACTATGATCTGTTTTTCTTTCTTTAAATTTATTTTTTCATTTAAACTCAGTTAATTAACATTTATCATATTATTAGTTTCAGAGGTAGTGTTCAGTGATTCATCAGTGTTATATAATACTCAGTGCACATTATATCATGTGTCCTCTTTAATGTCCATCACCCACTTACCCCATTCTCCCAGCTCCTCTCCTCCAGCAACCCTCAGTTTGTTCCCTATAGTTAAGAGTCTCTTATGGTTTGTCTCCCTTTCTGATTTGTCTTGTTTTATTTTTCCTTCCCTTCCCCTATGATCCTCTGTTTTCTTTCTTAAATTCCACATATGAGTAGGGTCATATGCTAATTGTCTTTCTCTAATTGCCCTAGTTCACTTAGCATAATACCTTCTAGTTCCATCCATGTCATTGCAGATGGCAAGATTTCATTCTTTTTGATGGCTGTGTAATATTCCATTATATGTATGTATATATACATATGTACATATATATATATACCACATCTTTTTTATCCAGTCATCTGTTGGTGGACATCTGAGCTCTTTCCTTAGTTTAGCTATTGTGGACATTGCCGCTATAAACATTGGGGTGCAGGTGCCTCTTCGGATCACTACATTTGTATCTTTGTGTTAAATACCCCATAATGCAATTGCTGGATCATAGGGTAGCTCTATTTTCAACTTTTTGAGGAACTTCCACACTGTTTTCCAGAGTGGCTGCACTGTTGCATTCCCACAAACAGTGTAAGAGGGTTCCCCTTTCTCCACCTCCTCACTGACATCTGTCTTTTCCTGATTTGTTAATTTTAGCCATTCTGATCACTGTGTGTGGTATTTCATTGTGGTTTTGATTAGTATTTCCCTGATGCTGAGTGATATGGAGCATTTTTTCAGCTGTCTATTGGCCATGTGTATGTCTTCTTTGGAGAAATGTCTCTTCATGTATTTTGCCCAGTTCTTGATTGGATTATTTGTTCTTTGGGTGGTGAGTTTGGTAAGTTCTTTATAGATTTTGGATACTAACCCTTTATCTGAAATGCTATTTGCAAATATCTTTTCCCATTCTGTCAGTTGTCTTTCGGTTTTGTCAACTATTTCCTTTGCTGTGCAGAAGCTTTTCAGCTTGATGAAGTCCCAATAAGTCATTGTCTTTGTTTCCCGAGCCTCTGGAGACATATCTAGCAAGAAGTTTCAATGACTGAAGTCACAGAAGTTGCTGCCTGTTCTCCTCTAGGATTTTTATGGATTCCTGTCTCACATTTAGGTCATTCATCCATTTTGAGTCTATTTTTGTATATGGTGTAAGAAAATAGTCCACTTTTATTCTTCTGCATGTGGCTGTCCAGTTTTCCCAACACCATTTTTTGAAGAGACTGTCTTTTTCCCATTGGATATTCTTTCCTGCTTTGTTGAAGATTAGTTGACCATACACTTGAGGGTCCATTTCTGGGTTCTCTATTTTGTTCCATTGATCTAGGTGTCTGTTTTTGTGCCAGTACCATACTGTTTTGATAACTACAGTTTTGTAATAGAGCTTGAAGTCCAGAATTGTGATGCCACCAGCTTTAGTTTTCTTTTTCAACATTCATTTGGTCTTTTCTGGTCCCATACAAATTTTAGGATTATTTGTTCCAGCTCTATGAAAAAAGCTGATGGTATTTTGATAGAGATTACATTGAATGTATAGACTATTCTAGGTAGCATAGACATTTAACAATATTTGTTCTTCCAATCCATGAACATGGGACATTTTTCCATTTCTTTGTGTCTCCCTCAATTTATTTCATAAATGGCCTGCAGTGTTCAGAGTACAGATCCTTTGACTTTTTGGTTAGGTTTATTCCTAGATATCTTATGGTTTTTGGTGCAATTGTAAATGGGATTGACCCCTTAATTTATCTTTCTTCTGTCTCATTGTTAGTTGTATAGAAATGCAACAGATTTCTGTGTGCTCATTTTTATATCTGGCCACTTTGCTAAATTCCTATATGAGTTCTAGCAATTTGGGGATGGAATCTTTTGAGTTCTCCACATAGCATATCATGTCATCTGTAAAGAGTGAGAGTTTGACTTCTTTGCCAATCAGGTGCCTTTTATTTCTTTTTGTTGCCTGATTGCTGAGGCTAGAGCTTCTAGTATGTCTATGTTGAACAACAGTGGTGATAGTGGACATTCCTATTGTGTTCCTGACCTTAGGGGAAAAGTTCTCAGCTTTCCCCCAATAAGAATTATATTTACTATGGGCTTTTCATAGATGGCTTTTATGATATTGAGGTCTGTTCCCTCTATTCCCTACACTGTGAAGAGTGTTAAGAAAGAATGCTGTACTTTGTCAGATGCTTTTTCTGGATCTATTGATTAGATCATATGATTCTTATCCTTTCTTTTATTAATGTAGTGTATCACATTAATTGATTTGCAGATGTTATACTACCCTTGCAGCCCAGGAATAAATCCCACTTGGTTGTGGTTCTTTCTGTAACTCCAGGATCCTGAGACCACACTGTCTCACCTAGGATTCCACCCCATTTCACCACCTGAGTGCCTTTCAGGTGGGGACATGAGAACATCCCTCACCACAGCAGACTTCTAAAAGTTCTGACTTTGCATTCCATGCTATATCACTTTCCTGTAGCCAGCCTACAGAGGCTCCCTCCCCCTGGGATTTATCTTCTGATATATCATCTCTGATTCACTTCTTCGTACCTCCTACCTTGCAGAAAGTGGTAGCTTTTCCATTTGTAGAATTGCAGCAATTCTTTTCTTAGATCTCCAGTTGAGTTCACAGGTGTTCAGGATGATTTGATAGCTATCAAGCTGAATTCCTGGGACCAGACAAAATTAAGGTCTCCTACTCCTCCACCATCTTCCTCCTATCTCCCAAGGATCTATTTTTCTGAAGAAATTATTAAAAATCAGATATTTTGCTAACCTGAGAGGTGAAAAATGTATCTCATTATTGATCTGATTTACATTTTTTTTTTGAGAGAAGCTAATTGTCTTTTCCTTTGCTTACTAACCAATTTGTTCAAAAGTTTGTGTCCAGGGGCACCTGGGTGGCTCAATGGGTTAAGCCACTGCCTTCGGCTCAGGTCATGATCTCAGGGTCCTGGGATCAAGTCCCACATCGGGCTCTCTGCTCAGCAGGAAACCTGCTTCCCTCTCTCTCTCTCTGCCTGACTCTCTGTCTACTTGTGATCTCTCTCTGTCAAATCAATAAATAAAATCTTAAAAAAAAAAAAAGTTTGTATCCATTTTTAAAAGATTGTTTTGGTTTTTCTTACTGATTTTCAAAATTATTAAGATTATTTCTCCATATGTAAAATGGAAATTAGCTGGTGGCCATTCACTAATTTTAATTTCAAGTTACATTTTTGTAGATTTGAACTTGACAGAAGCAAATGCTGTTCTATTTAATGAAGAAATTAGATGTAAGCTGACCTAACTAAATGCAGATATATCATTTTGGACAACCTGGAAACAACTGTTCAAAGTGGCTAAACTTAAAATAATGCCATATGGAAAAATATGTGAGGTTATAAAGCTTGAAGTTAGGTATATATTCAAATTCAGTTGAGTGAATCTCTGTAGAGGTATACTAGAGACTTAATTTCCTTGTGAGCAAAGAACACTCAGATGGGAGGCTCTCACTCTACAAGGGAGTGATTACAAAGTTAAGACAAGTATAACTGAATGGTCTTGCTTCAGAGGAGAGAGGGATGTTAAGGACTGCCTGGAGCATTGTCTAGAGAAGGGTATTGAGGCCATAAGAAAGATAGCACAGATGGATGGGCTTCAGAGGAATGGAGAAAGTCCACATATGAGTGAAATCATATGGTATTTGTCTCTGACTGACTTATCTAGCTTAGCATAGCACTACTCTGTAACTCCATCCATGTCATTGGAAATGGCAAGATTTCATTCTTTTTGATGGCTTTGTAATATTCCATTATATATATATATATATATTCCACCTCTTCTTTACCCATTCATCAGTCAATGGACATTTGGGCTCTTTCTATAATTTGCTATCATTGATAATGTTGCTGTAAACATCGTGGTGTGTGTATCCCTTCAAATCAATATTTCTGTACCATTTGGGTAAACACCCAGTAGTGCAATTGCTGGGTCATAGGGTAGTTCTATTTTTAACTTTTTGAGGAATGTCCATACTGTTCTCCAGAGTGGCTGCACCAGTTTGCATTCCCACCAACAGCATAAGAGGGTTCCCCTTTCTCCACATCCTTGCCAACACCTGTTGTTTCATGTATTGTTAATTTTAGCCATTCTGACAGGTGTGAGATGATATCTTGTTTTTTTGATTTGTATTTTCCTGATGATCAGTGACATTGAGCATCTTTTCATATGTCTCTTAGCCATCTGTATGTCTTCTTAGGAAAAATGTCTGTTCATATCTTCTGCCCATTTTTTAATAAAATCTTATTGCCAGTCTGTATAGTTCTATGCTAGGCACTAAGTGGATATTCTCATTTATTTTCAAGCACAAAAAATTTAAAAGTATTACCATTTCCATTTTATAGAGACTATAAATCAGAAAGACATAAAAAAAAACAACATGTTCAAGGTCACAAAATTAGAAAGTGGCACTGAGATTCAAGTCAGGTTTACCTGACTGCAGAGTGTACTACTCTGTAATACAACTGCAGCATTCTTGTGCAGGACACATTTTCGTATTTTGACATCTATTTGAAAACACATACCAAGTGTATTAAAAACACATTGCTATGCTTTGCAATTTAAAATTAAGTCTCTGGGGGTGCCTGGGTGGCTCAGTGGGTTAAAGCCTCTGCCTTCGGCTCGGGTCATGATCCCGGGGTCCTGGGATCGAGCCCCACATCTGGCTCTCTGCTCAGTGGGGAGTCTGCTTCCTCCCCTCTCTCTGCCTGCCTCTCAGCCTCCTTGTGATCTCTGTCTGTCAAATAAATAAATAAATAAATCTTAAAAAATAAAAAAATAATAAAATTAAGTCTCCGAATTCATAAATGATAGGATAAAAAAATAAATAATGAAAAGGAGCCATAGCATTTGGGATAGAGTATAAAAGAGTAGTTTTAGCAACAGGGAAATCAAGGTGGAGGCTAATGCCTATGGTAAGTGTGTCTCAGCTGTGGGCATATAGAGACAAAACAGGGAAAGGGAAACTTTGATGAGTTCTAGTCACATTACTCTTCTGAAAACTATAATATGGATAATAAAGAAAAGATTGTTATAAGCCAAAACGCAGTGTCTTTTCATTTGCAACTGTCATAGTTTTGCCAGGATTGCCTGAGGCCCAGCTGATTATGTAGGTCAGTGTAATCTCACAACCCAGTAAAAGAACTAGGAACTTTTTTTTTTTAATATTTACCTCAAATACACTCACTTTTTGAAAGTCTCTGTCATGTCCCCCCTATCTATTTTCAAATACAGTACTGCTTCTGATGAACTTTTATAGTTGTGGGATGGTTTTTCTGACATATTTTGAATCTCCTGAATCTTGAAATGTTCTTCTGTCTGAGAAGGGAAGTATCAGCTTAAATAGATATTGAAGTCATGATAAAACCTTCGTTTCTGCTAATTTTCTCCTTTTGTCTATCCTTGAAAGTGATTTATGTTCTTAAAGATTCTTACTACTAGTGCAAAGGGATGTGTAAAGTAGTAGCCTTACATCTCAGGCTGATTTCATGAGTGTTCAGAGTGTTCTGGTAGATATTTAGCTCACTTTAGGGGACCGGTTGAAACAGGGTCTCCTCCTTCTTCACCATCTTGCCCCTCCTGGCTCTAACGTAACCTTAACTTTAAGTGTGGACAACATAGTCTTCATTACCCTGTTCTCTTTTACACTTAGCCTATTTGATGACTCCATGACTCCATTTTCTTTATAAGCACATACATTTTAGTTTTGAAGTTATGAAAAAGCATTAAGAAGATACATTTTTACTCATCTCCCATTTTTAAGTTTTAGAGTATATACGCACATGTCTGATATTCAAATAGTCTAAAGTATTACAATAATAAAACAAATGGTGGCCTTTGCCTACAGTTTAGAAATAAAGACAATTTGATAGGGAAAACTTTTTAGGCCATCTGCTTTCATTGGAGTTCTGAGTATGTGTATATATGAGTTCTGAGTATTTTTGAGGCCTTCCCTTAAATAATTAGTCATGGCAACAAAAGGCTAAGTAACCTAAGATTAATAGAGTCAATATTTGTTCTTCATTAACATGGATACCAACTGAAGTCTGAGCTTTAGCTATGGTATACTCTAAAAAATAAATTAAAGGTGGAAATGTGGTGACTGGACCTCAGTTTTGGTAGAACTAGTCATTGTCACTAAATGATAAAGGATCTTGGATGTTATCTTATAGAAAACTCTCATTTTAAAGATGAGAATGAAGTGATAAGGGCCTTGCAATTTAACTGGTGGCAGAATTTGAAGCTAAGTCATTTTCTGATTCTTTATGATATGAAAACCTAACTCTTTGCATGATATAGGAATAGAACTGTATAATTAAATCAACCAAGTCCCTCGCATTTGCACTCTGCCTTTCAACATTTTTAAGCCAAGAAGAAACAGAATCTTTACCCTAATAAACATATCAGAACTAATTTTTAAAAATAAAGAAAATAGAGACACAATATAATCCTCCTTTGTTAAACTGTTGAAAATAGATATGGAAAACCAGATCATCAAAGCTGTGTAACTTTAAGGGCAAAAGTCCTGTCCAAAAATATAGATTCTTATTAGTTGATTGGAAAAATCTCTTCAGTATAAATTTTTAGAGACTGTAATGGGCACTGCTAAATTGCCCTCCAAAAAAAGCACTACCAGTTTGTTCTACCAATTAGTGAGAGTTTCCTTACATCACAGATAATTGACATTATAAAAAACTTTTTAGTATTTTTTCTAATATAGTACCCCCCCAAATGTGTCATATCATTTTAATTGCATTTCACTGATTACTGAATTTTAGCATCTTCTGTTTTTTTGGCCATTTGTGTTGCTTTCAGCTGTGAATTACTTGTATGTATGCATTTCCTATTTTTGTATTGGGTTCTATGTCTTTTTCTTATTGGTTGGATATTGCTCCTTATTCTGTTACACACAGTGCAGATATTTTCTCCTGGTTTGTCATCTTGTTCTTTATGTGCTTATTGTTTGTTTTGCCACACAACATTTTAGCTTTGCTATAGTCAATTGTGTCCCTCTTTTTTTAGGGTTTTTGCAAAGTGTGGTATAAAGTTCATACTTATATCAGTTAGGATCTTATCAGGAAAGGGAAATCACATAGTTTAAAATGTAAGTTTATAATTATAAAATATAAGTTTATAATTGACCAAACCAGGGGCTCAGATAACAAGAGATTGGCTTCTGAGAGGTAAAAGACGCCTGGCAAATTTAGGAATAGCAGCTATAAACGGCAAACGTTGAGATTGAGCCATCCACTTACACCACCCCACTCCACCCCACCTACTCCCCAGGCCTCAGAATCCAGATCTTGGTAGAAAGCCTTTGTTCTGGGGCGCCTGGGTGGCTCAGTGGGTTAAGCCTCTGCCTTCGGCTCAGGTCATGATCTCAGGGTTCTGAGATCAAGCCACGCGCTGGACTCTCTGCTGAGCAGGGAGCCTGCTTCCCCCTCCCACCCCGCCCCCTCCTCTCTGCCTACTTGTGATCTCTCTCTGTCAAATAAATAAACAAAATCTTGAAAAAAAAAAAAAAGAAAGAAAGAAAGAAAGCCTTTGTTCACTGGATGTTAGAGAAGACACCCATGGTGTCCTGTCTGGACATTTATATTCCATATATTTGCTGGAAATCTATATTCCAGATTTGCAAGAAATTCACCCTCTAGTGTGCATGGGGAGGTATTTTGCCCAAGGGATTTGGCTATGAAACTCCCTTAGGGTAAGCTTAGGGCCGCTGCTGGCCACTGGGTGCTACTAGCTGCCATGCACTGCTGGAGCCCAGCACTGTGGAAACCATTGTATACTAAAGAAACCCAAGTGTGCTATAGGATCCTGCAAAGGGGAGCCCAGGAAATCAGGAAGAGCTTCTTCCTTGTAATATCTCTTCAGCACCCTCTACTGACAAAATTTAGTGATGCCACGTAGCAAAGGAGAAATATTTAAAGGCCTCAACTTCATTTTCTCCGAGCAACAATGAAATGTGGATTTGGAGCCAACGGGTAATAAATTAATAACCACAGCACTTTACTATACGTGAATTATATTTTTGTGCATGATTTGGGATAACCTTAAACTGTTTTTTATAGGGGCGCCTGAGTGGCTCAGTGGGTTAAAGCCTCTGCCTTCGGCTCAGGTCATGATCTCAGGGTCCTGGGATCAAGCCCTGCATCTGGCTCTCTGCTCTTCGGGGAGTCTGCTTCCCTCTCTCTCTGCCTGCCTCTCTGCCTACTTGTGATCTCTCTGTCAAATAAATAAATAAAATCTTTAAAAAAAAACCAAACTGTTTTTTATAAAGATAAAATTGGAAACAACATAAAGGCCCATCAATAAAGAAATGATTGAATATACTGATAATTCCATACCACAGATTAGAGCAAAAATTAGATGTGTATCTAGATATATTTACTGCTATTATAAGATCTCTGAATGATATTGCTGAATGAAAATTAACAAAATTTTAAACTATAAAATAATACTAAGTATTACATATATACACACACATATATATTCAGAAGTAGAAGTCCTTATAAGATTATTTTATTAGATTCTTATAATTAGCATAATTTGTAAACCAGCTCTAAAGCACCTCATATAATAACTTTGTTAGAAAGATCTTCATGTAATTTTCTGTTCTCTTATTTCTGTTCTCTTATTTATAAATGTCAGAGAAATAAAGCCTATCTCAGGTCAAATTGACTCAAATTTCAAATTAGTAAAATTCTTAGAACTTGTAACTTCATATAATAAAAATCTGTGGGGGGGTGTATTTCTTTTAGGCAGAGGTTGAAAAAATTATTGCAGGTGCCTGGTACATTTTTCAGCCCCTTCTCTTCGGACTGATTGGAGCAGAAGTATCTATTGCATCTCTCAGACCAGAAACTGTAGGTAAGAATTTCAAAGTAGTACTTTTGCTAAAATCAACTTTTATATTCAGTGGAATACCTTCAGTAGGTATAGTTATTATCACAATTGTATAAAAAGTTAATAATAATCTAAGTCTCTTAGAGCAGTTGGCCAGAAAATAATTTTTGTCAATCTCAGGCATAAATTTTATACCTTTAATGTTATTCCTTGTAAAGAAAAGTAACACTACTAACCACTACCCAGAAGATGCAGGTCTTAAAATTTTTTTTCCAAGGACAAAAATGTTCAATTAGACTTGTTCTGATCAAGGGCCAGAATTATTCATCAGTTCTATAATATATATCCATGGAACAAAAATGTTTGTTCATTCATTCATTTATTTATTCATACATTCTAAAGTCATCGTATTAAAACTTTTGATTTCATAACACTGCACTTAAAAATTTATTTGTGCACATATATTCATTATTTCCTCCATTCCACTCATTCCATATTCTTCTATCTTTACTGGGAATCCCATCTCCCACTACCTCCTTCAGGACCTCATACATAGATTCTTCCCCTATTCTCATGTCACAGTTTTCTCCTCTTCAGAATTTAAATAAATTCTAATCTCTCCTGTCTTAAAATAATGTCTTTCCATTCCAATACCTGCTACAACATGGATGAACCTGGAGGACATTTGTCACCAAAAGACAAATACTGTGTGATTCCACCTATATGAGGTATCCAGGTAGTCAAATCATAGAAACAAAAAGTAGAATGGTAGTGGCCAAGGACTTGGGGGAGGGGGAAATGAAGTGTTGTTTAACATTAATGTTTAATGTTTAATCAGTTTTGCAAGATGAAAAAATACTGGAGATTGGTTACACAAAAATGTGAATGTTCAACTTAATGCTACTGAACTGCACACTTAATAATGATTAAGATGGAGGGTGCCTGGGTGGCTCAACAAAAAATGATTAAGATGGTAAACTTTGTTATGCATATTTTACCACAATTTTTATATATATATATATATATATATATATATATATACTCTTTTTTCCACTCAACTTGCCCCTTCACCCACCAAACTTTGTTTTTACTCCTCTTTTCGAACTTTTCCAAAGAAGTAATTATACTTCCCTTTTCCATTTCAACTCTCATTCTCTTCTTCAATACATTTCAGCCCAGCTTCTGCCCATCATACAACCGACCCTGCTCTCACCAAGATTATATTGCTAAGTACACTGAATACTTATCAGTCTTTTTTTTTTTACTTGATAACTCAGCAGCATTTGATGCTATTGATCTCTTTAAAACATGTTTTACATTGACTTCTGAAACTTCACATTTTTCACTGCACTCTGAGTCCTCATTTACACTACATGTAGCTTAAATGCCGCTCTTCATCAGGGTTGTTCCAAAGGTTTCTAAGCTTCTCTATGTCATTTTCCTGAGCTTATCTACATTCAGTAGCTTTGATTATAAACCACATAATTCCAAAATTTTTATCTCTAAATCAGTGTATCTAATTGCTGATTGGACATCACTACTTGTAAATCTCACAAAACTTAAAACTCGGTACGTTCAAAATTTCTAAATCCTCTTCTCCCCAAATCTTCAATGCTCCCTCCTGGCAATGGTATAATCTCTTTTGTTTTTTGTACTTCAGGCAATAAATGCTTTTGAAAACCTACCAACTTTTGAAAACCATTGAGGGATTGAGCAATATCCCTCAATAAAAAGCCACAACACCTTTCTATAAAGAAGCCATATTGCAGATTCACAATAAGTCCTCTGGCGATGTCTATCTGGTTTTATTATCTGTTTTACTCGCCTTTCGAACTTGAGAAAGTCATTTATCCTTTCTAAACTTCATATTTTTCAATTGTAAAATAAGAAAGATTACCCCACAGATTGTAAGAGGTGCTGAATGCACTTAAATTTTAATACAGAAACTGGTACAGAGTAAACACTTAACAAATGCTACTTTTTAGAAAATCACCATATTAGCAGTCACCTTAGCTGTGCCTTTCTCAGGTTCAGTAACCTAGTCACAATCCCCAGCGTGCAAATCAAGATGAACTTATCTTTGACAGCAAAGGATTCTAAAGACGGAATGAAGTAGCTGTTCATGTGTACCTGGGCTAATGGGTAGTCAGTGTATACACCAATATGGTGAAACAGGTGTAGACAGCCAGTGTCCATTCTGATTGGTCAGTGCTCTGCCAGTTCTGTTCTGATTGACTGATTGCTTTCATCTTGGCTAATAAATATCTTTAATATCACCTATGGTTTATACTCCATAAACAATTCTCAACCATTTTAATGAAAATATTAACTTTTTCTTTTCTATGACTTCTTACCAGTATGTTTATACTGTATGTGCCTTATAGTACATTAATTCATTATATTTCTGTTTTCCTCTGACGTTGAAGTTCATAGAGGCAAACAAAGTCTGTACATTATACATTTTTGTATACCCAACACCTAGTCCAAATCCTATCATGCACAGTTATCATTTAATAAGTTAATGTTGAATAAACACATGGAAGAAAGTTTAGTTCGTACGATAAAGCATAAGAGAAATAACATTCATATCTCCTCTATAATATGTATCAAATATGTTTAATTAATTTCTGGCTTAATCTAGGAAAAATACCTTCTTTTAAATAAATGATTTGATTTTTGTTATTGATGTTTTGATAAATTATGCCTAACCATTGTGTCTTCTTAATTTTTAATATATTTAGATAATTACAGTTGGTAGTATTTTGAATCAATAACCATGAGATACAGTTTCTCCCCCAATACTTTATTATGTCTAAAAATTAAATATTTCTTACAGGCCTTTGTGTTGCCATCCTGGGCATTGCAGTATTGATAAGAATTTTGACTACATTTCTGATGGTGTGTTTTGCTGGTTTTAACATCAAGGAAAAGATATTTATTTCTTTTGCATGGCTTCCTAAGGCCACAGTCCAGGTAATGATGGATTGGATGGTGTAGAATTTTAACTCCCATTTCTATATGACACCCTGAAATTTAAATAAGAGGGTTTATTCAAATTTGGTGGAAAAGATGTAATCTAAATTTGATTTGTGAAAAAGGGTTTATACTAATCTATTTTTTAAAAGTTTTATTTTACATATACTGATTTCCTAAATATGATGGCTCATTTAAATTTATCTAGATCATTAGCTTTATTTTAATCAACTAAAAATCCAATGAATTCCCACACTAACTAGAAAGCAGTAGTCATGAGAAGAAAGAGTTTGAATTTTTATCAGTCAGAGCCCTCTAAATCACCCAGAAAGATAGTTGTTAAACCTTTTCATTTCAATATCTTCCAAGAAGAGAGTGAAAAAGAAATAGCATGGTGTATCTTAGTATTTGGAAATACTTCAATGTCAATATAATTGATGATCAGTTATGCTTGACCACAGTCTTTATATATAAAGGAGAAAATTTATTGAAAAGCAACTGAGAAAATGCTTTATTGATTTTCTAGATTATTGGTTGGTAGTAAATTTTTCAAACTAGCTAAAACTTCTATCAAATATATCAATCACATGACCCAAAAATTGTGCACTGTAATGAATAAGGCATGAAGAGATAGGTGCTTGAAAGTATTAACCAGGTATTTGGTAGAATTTAATTACTAATTAAATTAGAACTGTACAGATTATTTGTTGCAAACATAATATATTTCTGATTATGTTATTTTCAAAGTAATTATAGCAAACAATATTGAACTGTCTCTTCTATGATTATTTTGCAATTGTTTAAACACGGAAATTTTTGTTTTATGAAATGAAAATCAGATGTCCTCTTTTTTTGTTTTAGATTTATTTATTTGAGAGAGAGAGCATGCACCCAAGTGGGGCGGGGGCCAAGGGAAAAAATCTTACTTGGGGCTCAATCTCACCACCCTGAGATCATGTCCTGAGCCAAATCAAGAGTCAGATTCTTTTTTTTTAATTTTTTATTTTTTTATAAACATATAATGCATTTTTGCCCCCAGGGATACAGGTCTGTGAATTGCCAGGTTTACACACTTCACAGCACTCACCATAGCACATACCCTCCCCAATGTTCATAACCCCACCACCCTCTCCTGACTCTCCCCACCAGCAACCCTCAGTTTGTTTTGTGAGATTAAGAGTTTCTTATGGTTTGTCTCCCTCCCGATCCCATCTTGTTTCATTTATTCTTTTCCAAAGCCCCCACGTTGCATCTCCACTTCCTCATATCAGGGAGATCATATAATAGTTGTCTTTCTCCGATTGAAGAGTCAGATTCTTAACTAAGTCACCCAGGCATCCCCAAAATGAGATGTTCTAAATTTAGGAAGCTTTGGGGATCTGTATGCGCTATAATTATAAGCCATATAATTATGGCTGTGGCTGTGGGCTTTGGCATTATTCCAGAGAAGTTTTATTTCCATCAGACTTTCAAAGAGGTCTGAGACATAATGGATAAGAATACTGTGAGGTCAATAGCCAAACTATGGAAAGAACCTACATGTCCATCAAGAACCTTCTTTATGAATGGGTAAAGAAGATGTGGTATATATATATACAATGGAATACTATGCAGCCATCAAAGGAAATGAAATCTTGCCATTTGCAATGACAGTAGATGGAACTATAGGGTATTATGCTGAGAGAAATAATCAGAGAAAGACAACTATCATATGATCTCCTTGATATGGGGAATCTGAGAGGCAAAGCAGGGGTTTGGGAGGTAGGGAAGGAAAAAATGAAACAAGATGGGATCGGAAGGGAGGCAAACTATAAGAGACTCTTAATCTCACAAAACAAACTGAGGGCTGCTGGGGGAAGGGGGATAGGGAGAGGGTGATTGGGTTATGGACATTGGGGAGGGTATGTGCTATGCTGAGTGCTGGGAAGTGTGTAAACCTGAGGATTCACAGACCTGTACCCTGGGGCTAATAATACATTATATGTTAATTTTTTAAAAGTAAAAAAAAAAAAAATGAATACTGTGAGGTTAGTAGTACAATAAGTGGAATAGTTTCTCCCTCAGAGTATCTTCAGCTTCCTTGCTGGTAACTTTAATGGGTAAATATCAAAATAATCACTCTAGTAACTTTGGTATGAGGGATGAGTTCCTAAACATTAAAATTTAAAAGATGGCACTCTCCTGCTACCAAAGCCAATATAAAACCTTATTTTATATTGGCTTTCAAATAACATTTCCTTAAATGTTATCAAGAACATGTTGAATAATGTATGTTCATCTAGTTGTAAAGAAGGCTGAAAAACTATCTGGACAGTAATATGAACAGCTGAAACTCAAGAGTTCTATAATAGAAGAGTATATTCAGATATTTGTGGGCAATTAGTAGTCTCTGCCATGTGTTTCATGCATACTGATATTTTCTCTTGTTTCATTGTCCTAGAGGTTAATGTTGTTGTGTTCTGTGGAAAAAGGGAGTAACCAGATTGTTTAATATATTATTTCCAGGGCACCTGGGTGGCTCAGTCTTTAAGCATCTGCCTTTGGCTCAGGTCATGATCCCAAGGTCCTGGAATAGAGACCCACATCCAGCTCGCTACTGGGCAGGAAGCCTACTTTCCCTCTCTCACTCCCCCTGCTGTGTGCCTGCTCTTGCTGTCTCTCTCTCTGTCAAATAAATAAATAAAATCTTAACATATATATATATATACACATATGTATATATATATATGCATATATGTTATTTTCCCATGTGCATTAATGTTGCATTTTGCCTGTAAAAGAGAATAAAAATTTTCATGAAACTTTCCAAAAGAATAAATTTTAAATAAAATATTTTACCAACTCCTGAGGCAAAAATTAACTAAATGCCTAATAAGATTAACTTCAAGTTTTGAAGGAGCATCTTATTTTCAAGTTTCATGATGTTTAATTAGTTAGCCTCTAAAAGCAGCACCTATTCTTATGGGTTGTTTTGTGTTTTGTTTGTTTTGTTTTTTCATTTAAAACTTCACCATCTTCCAGTATCACTGCATTTTTCATCTTTTTTTTCTTACTTTTGAAATTACTAAAGATAAAAGAATAAGATGACCAGTAACTCTCATCTTTACTCAGGTGAAATTTAGTATATATGGTATCATGTTCTAGTTAATTAATATCGTGAATCTGACTTTCCCTTGTGTTTTGACATATATTTGCCTGATATTTTTGTAGCCCTACCTTATGCAAATAGGTACACATAAATCATTATTCTTTCCCCAAGCAGGGAGAGTTTTCAAACAACCAAAACTCACTGCAGTATACTTTGAAAGAAGACTAATAGAATTTTCTTAACTGAGCAAAAGAACAGTAATTTGTTTTTGCAAATGACAAAATAATTCACCTTTTCTCTATGCACTTGTCTTATGTTTCCATTGTTACCTTTAAACTTTTATAGGCTGCCATAGGATCTGTGGCTTTGGACACAGCAAGATCACATGGAGAGAAACAGTTAGAAGAATATGGAATGGATGTGTTGACAGTGGCATTTTTGTCCATCATCATCACAGCCCCAATTGGAAGTTTACTCATTGGTTTGCTGGGTCCCAGGCTTCTCCGGAGAGCTGAACATCAAAATAAAGGTGAAGAAGTTCAGGAAGAGACCTCTATACAAGTTTAGAGGTGAAGAGACAAGGCTGAGCGTAATGATTAGAAAGCTGCTGCCAGAAACTTCTTTTTACCAACTAGCGAAGTCTATGTTATCTAGATGCATATTGAGATAAGTAATGTTTAAGCTTTAAATGTAATAGAACCAAAAGTGTAGCTATTTCTTTAAAGAGCATTTTTAGCCGTCCTTTCCATGTCGGTGGTAATATTCTACATCTCCAACCTAATTTCTTGACCTCTCGCTTTTTTTTTTTTTTCAAATACCTCTTCATTTTGTATCTTTATTTAGTAAAATGTACTACCACAATTTGTTTTTTTTGAGATTTTACCTATTTATTTGACAGAGACACAGCAAGAAAGAGAACATAAGCAGGGGAGTGGAAGAGGGAGAAGCAGGCTCCCCACTGAGCAGGAAACCAGATGCTGGGCTTGATCCTAGGACCCTGGGATCATGACCTGAGCCAAAGGCAGATGCTCAAAGACTGAGCCACCCAGGCTCCCCACTACCACAATTTAAAATTAACATGGAAAAGATCAAGTTCATTATCCTGTTCTACTAACCAACAGCTTGATCTAACTTACTGTTACTGTCATAATTTCATGATTCATGGTCACCTGACCACTCAAACCTTGAAATGTTTTGGACTCCTCTATACTTTTTTTTTTTAAAGATTTTATTTATTTATTTGACAGAGATCACAAGTAGGCAGAGAGGCAGGCAGAGAGAGAGAGAGAGAGAGGAGGAAGCAGGCTCCCTGCCAAGCAGAGAGCCCGATGCGGGACTCGATCCCAGGACCCTGGGATCATGACCTGAGCCAAAGGCAGAGGCTTTAACCCACTGAGCCACCCAGGCACCCTCCTCTATACTTTTTTTATTTTTAAATACCATAATGCAACCCTTCATCAGTTTCTACTCCCACTTTCTGTGCCAATCTGCCGCTTCTCCATTTCGACCTCTCTTGTTACCCTTCTGTGAATTATTGTAACTGACTGGTCCCACCAAAATTTTCAAGTGTGCCAAGTGTCTTCATTGGCTCTTCTTCTTATACCTATCTAGATGTCAAAAGACCTTATCCTTTCTCCTAACTGACAACACAGAGTCTCCCATTTTAGCAGTGCTTCTGAGTTTGCCTTCCCCTGAGGAGTGCCCTGGTTCAGCCCTTTCTTATCTGTTTCTTGTGACCCATATCTTTAGGCTCTTCCTTTGCTGTAGGTGAGAGATAATTAATTGTCAAATTTATGCCAACCTCATGAACGTAATATTAATTAGAGTAAGGTAAACTGCTTAATGAGGAAACAAAAAATATAGTACTTAAAATTGAAATTTATTTCCCTTTCGTGAAACTGGCTGACTGGATGATGCTGTCATGATTAGTTAGTTCATGGTTTTCCTCAGAGACCCATGTCCTTCTATCTTGAGGCTCTGACATGTCTTAAGCCCTAAGACAGGTTAAAGATGAATCTCTCCCATGTCTCCTTTCTAGACTTCAGGAAGAAGTGGAGAGGGTGAATCCAAGGCAAGCAATTTATTTTTAAGTAAATGATGTGAATTTGGCCACATATCTCCTCTTACATTCTACTGGTGATGACCACACCCAGCTCTGAGGAGGTCTGATAGTATTGCCTCCCACTAAGCATCCTTTAGTGAGATTCTTAGGAGTAAGAAAAGTTCAGATTTGGGAGACAGAGATACCATTGTATGGAATGTTACCATCACTTAGTAGCATAATCTTGCATGTTAGCAGGCTTTCTAAAGATAGTACCTTAAACTGAAAGAGTGATTTCTATGGCAAGAATTTCAAACATTGTGTCATGCTTGCAGAGAAGACAGTAGAAGAAAGGCTTATCTACATAGGTCACATTTTATCCCACTTACCCAACAGACCATCTTTGCTTTACTGTATCATCTTTAAATTCTCTTTGACTCTAGGTCAATTCCTGCCTAGTTGCTAGAATAATCATATTTGAATACAGTTCACGGTGTTTTTCATGGTGTATGTATCCCTAAAGCATTTATTACTTACTTGTCATATCCCTGAACTCAGAACTCTTTAACCCAGAATCCAAAATTCAGTCTAATCTTTTTTTTTTCCTCAATTACATCTGCAAAACCTCTTTTTCTTTTTCTTTTTTTTTTACTTTTATTTTTTATAAACATATATTTTTCCCCCAGGGGTACAGGTCTGTGAATCGCCAGGTTTACACACTTCACAGCACTCACCATAGCACATACCCTCCCCAATGTCCATAATAACCCCACCCCCCCCAACCCCCCTCCCCCCAGCAACCCTCAGTTTGTTTTGTGAGATTAAGAGTCACTTATGGTTTATCTCCCTCCCAATCCCATCTTGCTTCATTTGTTCAGTCTAATCTTAAAGTAGATATTAAAATGTGTTAAATTAATGGATTATAAATATTCTGATCCTACCAAGATGATTTGCATAAAGCCTATCCATTCCTCTTTTGTCCTTGCTGTTCCAGGTCCTTTCTCCATGCCTTTTACCTCTATTTAAAACCAGCTTAATTTTTATTAAGCTTACATATTATGAAGCCATAACAGCTTCATTTTTACATCAGCCTGATGTTGGTTACTCTGTGGTACTGTGTGTTTTCTTCTAATTCATGCTCTTTATTTGGATTATATTAATTTACACAAAAATTCAGATAGCTATTTCAAACTGAACTTAATTGGTTAGGTGTACATTGGTGGCAGCAACATAAACCCAATGTTCATCTGGTCCTCTCTTTTGACAGGCTCTAAAACCAGATTCATTCAACAAATACTTAGTGGAAGCTTTTGATGACCTAAGCACATCATCAAAACTGTTATTGTTCCTGTCCTTAAGGATCTGTCAGTCTGATGGAGGAGACAAATAAGAGATTTCAAAACAGTGTAAGTGCTATAATGCAGCAAATATGGGAGTCTAGGAGGCTCATAACAGGAGCACCCACCTAATCCAGGGGTGGTGCAGTTTAGGCACAGCTTCCAGAGAAAGTAGAGTCTTGGCTAGGATGTGGGGGATGATTAAGATTTAGATAGCAAAAGGCATGTGACCCAGAAGGGTGCTGCAGTTAGTGCTAGGTCCCACATTCTCCAGTAGTTTTTGTCACAGTAACAGGCTCCAAACGCTTATTAACTTATAAAAAATACGACTGGTATAAGTAAATAAGAATGTTGTTATAGTCAAGGCCCCAAAGAAGAATGAGAAGTGGAAATTCACAGTGTAGAAAGGGCGGAAGAAGCCTTTTAGCCACTGCCAACAGCCTGTTGCATTTTGGAGAGCATGCAGCGAGTTCTCCTTCTCCTCGGTGAGCAGCCACCATCTAAATCTCTAAATGCCAGTATGGGCCTGTGCAGGGCTCCCCATTGAAGCCTCAGGTTTATCGCCACATTGTGAGTCACAGCTGTCCACTTGGTTGGTGAACTCAGAGTTAACTTGATATAGAGTGTTGACTCAGGTCAGCCAAACCTACCCAACCCAACCACAGATAGAAACAATTACTCTAATCCCTGAGTCCCTATAAAAGGGAGGTATGTATCCTACAAAAGGGATATGTATAAAAGAGAAGATACTTCTGTCAGAACACTTATAACCCTTTTTTCAGTTTGTCTACATGCTTTTCTCCTATGAAATCAGCTCCTTAGGGGTGAGAGCCTTGTCTTGGTTACCTTTGGACCCTCACTAGTTTGCACAGGGCATGAAATACAGTAAGCAATTAATAAACATTTGTTGACTGAATTACTGAAGGGATCCTCTTCCAGTATAGAAAACCACTTGCCGGGGCACCTGGGTGACTCAGTGGGTTAAGCCTCTGCCTTCGGCTCAGGTCATGATCTCAGGGTCCTGGGATCAAGCCCGGCATCGGGCTCTCTACTCAGTGGGGAGCCTGCTTCCCCCTCTCTCTCTGCCTGCCTCTCTGCCTACTTGTGATCTCTCTCTCTGCCAAATAAATAAAACAAAATAAAATCTTAAAAAAAAAAAAAACACTTGCCACATAACAGTTCAGATCTTAGTCTCCTTGCTCTGTCTTAGTCTGCTTGGGCTGCTATAAAAGATACCACAGACTGAGTGACTTAAACAATACACAGTTATTTTCTCATAGTTCTGAAGGATGGAAGTCCAACATGAGGGTGCTAGAATGATCAGGTTCTGCTGAGGGCTCTCTTCTGAGCTTGCTTATGGCCTCCTTCTTGCTGTGTCCCCACATGGTAGGGAAAGAGATGAGAATGGGGTGGGAGAGGGGGAGTATGTAAACTCTCTGGTATCTTTTCTTACAAGCACACTAATCCCATCATGAGGGCCCCACCCTCATAACCTCACCTAATCCTAATAACCTCCAAAGGCCCCATCTCACAAAACAGCACGTCAGGGATTAGGGTTTCAACTTATGAATTTGGGGGAAACAGTCCACAACAAGGGGGTCATACTTTAAGAACACTTCTAAAAAAATCACTATAAGTACTTGTTCTACCATGTCCTTTTTTTCCTAGGATCAGTGCCATCCCATCTCTCCTCCAAGAGGATTTTTGTTTTTTATTTTGGGGGGGGGCTGATTAGGTTTCAGCTCGAAATTGTTTTCACATTCCAATATTTTTCTCTCTGTTTTTAACTCCAGATAACCTTGATTGGACCTGAGTGTTCTTAAAGTTTCCTCAGCCACATATTTGCAAATGATCTCATCCTTTACGCTCTTTAAAAATAGTATTTTTTCCTGATTGCAAGATAAGACATTTTCACTGCAGAAATTTAAGAGCACAGAAAAGTACAAGGAACAAAACTGAAACTACTCAATGTAAACATCCACTTTATTTTGATTCTTTTACATTTTACTCTTGCAGTTCAAAGGATGTCTTAAAGATACATCATCCACTGAATTAGGTGAAAGGCAACATAAATACTTTATATTTGACTTCTGTGAAGATATACAGATTGAAGAACTTTTATTGTATATAATGAATACTGAACTTTCCAAATACTCATTCATGGAGCTTATGTTTTAAAATCCATTCATTCACCCACTCAGAATGCACTCATAATACTCTACTATATGCCAGGAATTATGCTAAATACCCAGGAATTCAGCAATGGCCAAGATATTCAAGGGCTCTGCTTAATGGAACTTGAATTCTAGTGGGAAATGGACACTGTGGAGAATACAAATATGAATAAGACATGATACTTTTCTTCGAGAGAAAGAAAATTTAAACTGATGTATTAATATTAGAGAGTAAGGTGAAGAAGGAAA